GCCCGGTTTATGGCCTACCAGGCACCCCACGAGTGGCACAACACGCTGCGTGCTACGTTAGCTGACCTGCAGTTCTTCCCGTCCTCTGCAGACCCTTCGCTCTTCGTTCGTTCTGGCCAGACCCCGTTCTACATCATTGTCTACGTAGACGACCTGGTCTTTGCTACTGCAGACAGAGACGCTTTGACCTCCGTGAAGGCTAAACTGCTGAGGAGACATACCTGCACAGACCTAGGAGAGCAGTGATGCTACCTTGGCCTACAGATCTCCAGGGACAAAGCAACGCGCACCATCAATCTCACACAGTCACACTTGATGCGCCAGGTCCTTCAGAGGTTCTGTCTTCAGTTCTCCTCTGCACAGCCCACACCTTTGCCAGTAGATCACAGGCTCTCTGCTCTAGTCCCTAAGGAGTCAATAGAGCCTCGTGGTTCGTACGCATAGCTTGTGGGTTGCCTCATGTACCTGATGACTTGCACTCGTCCAGATCTGGCATACCCTCTAAGCATCCTTGCTCGCTTTGTGGCCACAGTCAAACACCGACCACAACACTGGTCGAGCGCTAAGAGGGTTTTCCGTTGTCTAGCAAGTACATCAGGCATGGGGCTAGTGCTTGGAGGAATGTGAGAGTACGACACCGTTACACCAATTTCCCCTTTCCATATTTCCTTTCTATTTCATTCCTCTTTTTCTTCTGATTCATTTGGTCTTTATCACATCTCATTTGGTTTCCTATTCCTCATTTTCTATTATCCTTTGGTTTATCCTGTTATTATGATTATATCACCGACCAGGCTCAGGATGTACTGGCGCGCTATATCTAGCGTAATCCTAACGTAATAGCCTTGCGTGGCTATACGCAGAGTGATTCTATTTCTAGAAGGGTCTATTCCTTTTCGATAGGATTAACTTGGTTACCTGATGTACTATGGAAGTATAAAAGCACCTTGTACTGATTGATAGTGGAACATTGAGCAAACCTCATTCGGTCCTGTGACAAGGACGCTGGCTAGTGGTCCTTACAGAGCACATAGACGCTTCGTGGGCAGACGACGCCGAGACTCTCAGGTCCTCCCATGGCTACTGCTTTAGCCTTGGTGTAGCTGCCATCTCTTGGATGTCCACCCGCTCGTCGTCTATTGCACAATCTAACTGTGAGGCTGAGATCTACGCCAGTGCCATGGCGGCACAGGAGCTCCGCTGGCTGACTTTCTTGCTCACAGATTTAGGTGAGAGGCCTAGCTCTGCCCTGGTCCTGTATGCTAACAACAGGGCCATGATCCTCCTGTGTCAGGAGCCTCGACTAGAGGGCAGAGCGAAGCACATCCAGCTGCGGGACTTCCTCCTGCGTGAGCTTTAGCAGCACCGCCAGGCCCGCGTAGTACACTTGGCATCCGGTGCCAACACAGCTGATATCTTTACTAAGGCGCTTGCGCCTAAAGATCATCTGTATACCGCTTGGTCTAGTTCCTGTAGCTTCTCACTTGCTAGAACCCTGATTGTGTACTTCTTCTTATATTGTCTTGACTGGCCTTGTGGCTCTTGTACCAATGGATGGACTAGTAGTGCCGCCCTGGGTTACTCTTGCTTAGTTTGTACTCTTGCTGACTGGTCTTCGGACCCTTGCCTCGGAGGTTGGACTAGTAGTGCCACCCTGAGCTGCATGTCTCTTGCCAGGCATTGCTCCTCATCTAGCCTAGGGGGTGTGTACACTTAGAGATTACAACCCCTCATCACAAAACCACCCTGTATCTTTCATTCTAGTCCAATTCGTTACTCTGAGATGTTTCGGGGAAAAAACGTCAAAAACCTGATGCTGTCAAGGTGTTTTTCTACACCTTTATTTTCCTCGTCAACTTTTTCTTTGGGAGGGAGCATCGAGAGAGACAGGCAAGGAATAGTGACAGCGAGAGAAACTAGTAACTTTTTCGCGCACAAGAGCTGCTAGGTGGCATGGTATGGTTTCCAGGCAGGTAACTTTTTGCCAAAGAAGATTGTAATCATTTCATGCACACGTCAGATCAGCTTTTTGGTGCATGCTACTCAAGCATGCTTGCTCGCGCTGCCATAATTTTGTGCCGACAGGGCGTGGGAGAATGAGGAAGAATGTATTTGTTCAAGGAGGACTTTCAAGCTTGGGAAAGGTGGGGAGGGGGGGGGGGGGGGGGGGGGGGGGGGGTATAAGTCTCTTCTATTTAAGTCGGAAAAGTTGTGAGGACTTCGGCGAAATTTTCTGAGTTGCAGGGTGCGTAGGAGGAATGTATCTGACTTATATATATATATATATATATATATATTTTTTTGTGTAGGTTTGGTAGGTGTTCTACAGATTGTATCCTACAATAGAGAGGACAGCCCCCCTTATTGTATCTCTCTCTCTTCCTAGTCGACCCTCTTTTCTCTCGACATTTTCTCTCCTACCTAGCCTAAACCCTTCCTTAGCTCTTCGAACATGATATCAGAACACGCTGATCTTGCTGAGCCTCCTCATCATGCTTCCGCAACGTACTCTCTCCCCTCCCGTCACTTTCGCGCTGCCGTGATGGCCATGTCGTGCTGCCATGGTGGCCTCGACGCGCTGCCGTGGCGTCGACGCCACGCCATGGCGGCTTCGTCGTGCTGCCGTGGCTACTTTGTCGCGCCAGCGCACGGACGTTTGCGGCCAGCGCACCATTTTAGGCGCCAGCCATGACGTGCGCACGCCAGCCAGTGCGCCTGCCATGGATGCCTTGCTGAAGCACGCCCCTCCCGTGCGTCTCCCCTTATTCCAGCTGCAGCTGATGACTCAAAACCTGGTCGTCGCCGGGCCGTGCTTCGCAGTCGCCGCCGCCGTCGTCGAAGCCGCCGCCACCACCGCCGCTGTCGTTGTCGTAGAAGCCGCCGCTGACGCCGTTGCTGCCACCCGCCGCCAATGTTGCCGCTTTGCACGAGGGGTAGAAGCCAAACCTGGTGCAGGACATGGGGGTGCAAGGGCTTGGGGGTGTTGCGTGTGGGATGGGCTTGCGACTACCAAGAAGGGGGTGTGTCAAATTATATTTTATATATATCTATATATATATATATTATTTTTTTTGCAGGCTTAGTAGGTGTTCTACCGATTGTGAATCCTACAGTAGAGAGGACAACCCCCTTTTTGTATCTCTCTCTCTCTCTTCCTAGTCGACCCTCTTTTCTCTTGACATTTTCTCTCCTACCTAGCCTAAACCCTTAGCTCTTCGAACAGACTTCGCCAAATTTTTTAGACCTCGTGGTTTGCGGGATGCGCATGAGGAATGCCCCTGGCTGGGGAGGACTTAACCAAAAATCTGGGCTGTGGGCTTAGGGATTTCCCGGTGGGCAGGGCTGCCTGGATGATTATCCCGCGTCGAATATTCGCTAGTTGTAGAATCCCGAGGGCTCAGAGTTTTTTGTTCCAGGGCGTTTTTCGACGCACCCTGATCGGTCAGGGTAAAACGACGAGCACCCTTAATACAGCAGGGTAAAACCCTTCGCTACACTTTTGAGAAAGGGTAAGAAAACAAATTCCCTTACAAAATCAGGGGAAACAATAAAAAAGGCAGCCGCTGGTAAGCGTAATCAGCGTAAAACACCCTTAAAAAATGGGCCCTGGTCCTGCTCCAGCTCCTCGTGGGTGGCTATGTTCATGGCGGTAGCATGAAGGCACACAAATGCATTGTTTGCTTGCTTTACTTTCATAATATAGAAGTCTATACCAAATGAAAGCATGCATAGAATATGGATTTACGATAGATACAATGCCTGATAAGGGTAAAACGCAAATTCTTGGTGGTTTATGCATGCCAAGATTCTTAATGAATGATGTACCTACTAATAGCCTGAAGACTTTCACTTTGATGAAGTGTACGATTTTTAGTATTCATAACTGTGAGTGTAAGGAATTTCCATTCCTTACTGAGTCGTACTCTAGCGCGTACACCCGAACTCCTCGACTCGTCACGTTCGGCCTCGTTTATTGGCCCAACCATTTCCCGAGTCGCGTCCGGCACTGCCGAACCTACCCACGTTCCGAGGTTATCGCCCTAGAACGCCAACCCCTGTATAACCTCGTGCCTTTATTGCAATATCGACCTTGTATTTTCACGTTATAGTTCATTGACACTTCCTATATCATAACAGCTGGTATCAGAGCCGAAGCTTTCCAGGAACCTTCCGCTTTCCCGTTTAATTAGTTAAGGGTGGTCAAAGGGGATTAGCACTGTTGCACAGCAGTTGCCTTGGATCGTACTATTTTTACGTCAACAACTACAGCGTGTGCGCTAGCTTCTGCCCCGTCCCGACCGCCATGACCCCGGTAGATTCGACGGTTGAGGAATAGTCCACCTCGACTGCTGCAAACCCTGCCCGGGAAACTGTGGACCTGCTAGCATTAATGGAGCAGTTGAATAATCTGACAAGCGTCGTCAATAACCTCTGCGACGAGAACCAACGACTTCGCCAGGCGCAGGAGAGGCGTTCAGAGGAGCTGGGCGACGATGCACGAAGCGAGGCGGGTGAGCAGCAACCGTCGCCAGTGGAGCTGGCACGACTAGCGGCAACAGTGCCGCGCTCGACAAGTGGCGGCATGAGATATCAGCTACCCGCTCCTTTCGACCCAGCTAATAAAGGTGTGACGGTGCGGCAGTGGATATTCGCCATGAATATCTATTTTAACGCAGCGGGCATCCGAGACAATCAGAAGCGGATCAGCCACGCGTTAACACTGTTGCAAGGGGCCGCCCTACAGTGGTAGAAGGTCATCATCGACTCAGCGGCTACTCGCACGGAAGGACAGCACGAGTGGTCCGAAGAATTCGGCGACGGAGACGAGGCAGATTTGTTGTTCGGTGCGACCCAGATTCGCACATGGGCAACGTGGTGCGCAGAGCTTCGCAAATGGTTTGAGCATGCTCCTGACTCAGACAAAGCGCGCGAGACTCTACGCATGTGGAAGCAGGTGGGATCTGTGTCCGAGTACACCGCGTCATTCTGTTGTGTGATGTCATCATATGCTATCACATTCTGTCTGCCTCCCATCCCATGTTTTCAACTTGCATGTGTGGTTTGAATGTGAAAGAATTTGTGTGTGGTGTGTTCTGGAGTTTGGGAATGTGTTCTGTGTTATTTTTGTTTGAGCAGGTATTTTGATGATAGATCTTGAGAATATATTTCCGACGCAACAAGAATCGCTTCAATCGGAGCAAGAACGCGAAAGCTATGAAGATTCAAAGTTCATGAGCTTGCGTTACAATTGCGGCGGTTACAAAGTGAAGTTGTGGGGTGACTCTATATGGAGTTGGGACCTTTGGGGTTGGGGAAATTTGTCACTCTACTGTAACAGGTGCAAATTGGTTGGGAACAACCAAGCTAGGTTGGCAAGGGTGGCCAACTTGGATGGATTGGTTGGGAAGGGACAAAGGTCAAAGTTGAGGTTCCTATAGGGAGGGAATCTTTGTGCTTATGGGGTTTCCTTGGTTGGGGACTCTCTTGGGACCTTCCCTCTCGTCCCTCTCTTTCTATCCCAACCTTTCTCTTGCTCCTCTAATTCCTTGTGAGATTCTTGAACTTTGATTGAACTCTTGAGATTGAGTTAAGTTCTCCTCCTACAGCTTACCCCCTAGTGCGTCGAAAGCCATAGCGTCGCGAATACTTCATCAATCAACGTGATTCAAATTGGGAACGGTAGCTGAGATCAAGAGCTACAACATATCCAAGTTTCGCGACATTCCAACGGCTAGTGTTTTGTCGACGTCGTTTCTTGTGAAGACGACTTTTCTGTCCAGAATTTCGGATTTATATTTTGAGTAATTCTAGCTCCTAAGTTCACCTAGACTCTGTCCTTAATCCTAACAAGTGGTATCAGAGCAATATTAAGGACATTGAGAGGAGTCTACAGAAGTGTGAAGACCCTTCTAGACCCACCATGGCCTGTGGGTGTGCCTAAGTGGTGTTCTAAAGGTTGGATGTGTCTTCCGCTAAGGGGAAACTCTGCCGAAATTTCGTGGACGCCGACACTTGTGAAAATATCGAGGGAGCTGAGTGTGGACAGCAAAGGGGAGCTGAAATTCGTCATTTCTCAAGGAGAAGATGAATGAGAGAGGAGGAGATGCTAATGGAAGAGGAGCTGTACCTGAGAAGACAAGTGAGCCGCCGCCATCAAAAGTTGAAGCTTTGGATGGCTCCAACTATGAGGAATGGAGCGGACGGATGAGGAGTGCCTTCAAACGCTACAAGCTACTGAAGATTGCTGTTGGGGAAGAGAAGATGCCGGAAGAAGGCGAAGCACGTGAACGGTGGATTGAGAAAAGCACGGTGCTTTTCGACCTCATCCTTCAATCGGTCAACAAGGAGATGTTCGAGCACATCAAGGATCTTGTGGAAGCGGATGATTCGGGTCCAAGGGCGTGGAAACTACTACGCGATGTGATTCAGCCCAACACTCTCCTGATGGTGATCGTGCTCGAGAAGGAACTTGCTGCCATCTCCATGCGACCAGGGGACGATGTGAAGCCGGTCCTTGACAAGATCAAGGACACCTATGCAAGGATGGCAGCAGCGGGCAGCAGTGTATCTCAGCTGCAGCAGTGCACCAAGATCATCTCGGTGTTGGACAACTCTTGGGACAACCTCATCCCCACCCTCAACTCTCAACAAGATCAATGGACACCTGAGTGGCTAAGGCAGCAGATTCTGCAGGAGGACTTCCGCAGACGCCATGTGGGAGGCGGTGCTGCCACTAAGACTGCTGAGGGTATGGAGCTGCAGGGCGCGGCAGAGGAAGAGGGGGTTGGAGAGGCCGAGGCCGTGGGAGGAGCTTTGGCAGAGGTAGAGGCCGAGGTGACTATAATGAGGGGCATGGGAGCTCTAGTGGCAGGGGGAGTACCAGAATGGAGGGCACCTGCTGGTACTGCAAGAAGATAGGGCATCCTTGGTTCAAGTGCTTCAGCAGGCCGGAGGGATGGGCACCTCCAGGCATGAAGCCACCCAGTGGTGAACGCGCACAAGGTGGCGCTGTGCAAGATGAAGGTGCACAAGGTAACGCCTATCCTGGGATGTATCTCATGGTTGAGGATGTGCATGGGCATGAGGGTGATGTGGGATCTGTCGGAAAGGTTGTGATGCACCCTCTCACGCACTGGGTGATTGATTCGGGTTGCACCAGTCACATGACCCCACGGGCAGATTTGCTTGATGAGGTAAAACCCCCTGGGAAGATTAAGTATGTGGCAGCAGCGTCAGGTGCTTTGCTCCCCGTGATTGGTGTTGGGAATGCCAAGGTTAAGGGAGCTAATGGGGAGCTTGTGGGGCTTGGGAATGTTCTGCTGGTTAAAGGCTTGTCTGCTAACCTTCTCTCTGTGCGGCGGCTGCAGAAGAGTAAGGCCGAAGTGACCTTTGGACCAACCAGCTGCCGTGCTAAGCTTGGGAAGAAGGTGCTGTGGAGTCTGGAAGAGGAGACCAGCTGCATCAAGGACCTGTGGCAGCTGCCCATCATCCCTTGGAATGGGAAGACTCCAACAGCAGCAACGGCAGCAGTGGCAAAGGCAACAGCAGGAGGAGATGCAACTGCACCAACTGATGGGGTCCTGGAAGCAGTCAAGAAAGTGCAGAAGCAGCAGACACATGGTGAGGTGCTTGCTGGTGTGGATGCGAGTGCGGCATGGGCTAAGGCTTCATCAAGGAGTGGAGAGGCCGATTGGGAGACATGGCATGAGAGGCTGTGTCATGTGAACTTCCCTATGCTGCAGAAGTTGGTGAAGGATGGGAGCCTGAAGGGCTTGGAGGTGAAAGGGGGAGTGAAGGAGATTGGGAGCTGCCCTACATGCTTGGAGACCAAGTTCTCCAAGTTCCCCTTCAACAGCACTACAGGACCAGCCAAGACCCCACTTGCACTTGTGCACATGGATGTGGTGGGGCCCACAAGAGCCCCTTCCCTCTCAGGCAGCCGCTATTTCTTGACAATTGTGGATGACCACACTCGGGCAGTGTGGGTTTACCCTTTGAAGAGCAAGGGGGAGGTGGCAGCGGCTGTCCTTAAGGAGTGGATGCCTAGAGCTCAGAGGGAATGCGGACACAAGGTGAAGGTGATCCGCAGTGACAATGGTGGGGAGTTCATTGGAGCTGATTTTGAGGGGGAGTTGAAGAGGAAGGGGATCCAGCATCAACTGACAGTGCCCTACAACCCGCAGCAGAATGGCGTGGCTGAGAGGTTCAACAGGACCCTGCAGGAGGGGGCACGCACTCTCCTTGGGCGTGCAGGGCTGCCTGATCCATTTTGGGTGTCTGCACTGAGGCAGGTCGCCCTTGTGAAGAACAGGGTGCTGGCTACAGTTGGAGATAAGGAGTGGATCCCATATGTCAAGTGGTATGGGAGTGCTCCAGCTGTGAACATGCTGAGGGCATTTGGGTGCATGGTGGTGTTTCATGTGCCTAAGGAGAAAAGAGGGAAGTTGGAGGCTTCTGGAAGATGGGGTGTGCACTTGGGGATTGCAAAGGATCACAAGGGGTGGCTGCTATGGGACTTGACCACCCAGAAGTTGACAGTGTCAAGGGATGTGAAGTTTCTTGAGTCCCTGTACTACAAGGAATGGAAGCAGCAGCAACAGAAGCTTCCATCTACACCGCTCATTGTGGAGGCAGATGAGGTGCAGCAGCCTTCAAGACAGGTGGAGGTTGCAGTGTCAGAGGAGGAGATGTCTGGGGTGACTGAGGAAGGGGGAGCAGCTGAAGTAGAGCAGCAGCAGCAGCAGCAGCATGAGTCTCCATCTCGAGTTCCACACCCGCCTGAGCGACCTAGGAGGGATGTGCGCCCTCCGGTGAGGCTGACCTATGGGGGAAGAGGCAAGCCAAATGTGGTGCAGGCTGGGAGTGTGGTTGAGCAGATTGAGGAAGATGAGATCGCTCACTGCTACTGGGCACCAATCCCTGAGCCCAAGACTCGAGAGGAGGCCTTGAATGGACCAAATGGGGAGAAGTGGAAGGCGAGTGAGGATGAGGAGTTCGGGTCCCTAATTGAGAACGAGACATGGACCTGTGTGACTTGCCTCCTGGAAAGAAGGCAATCACTTCCAAGATGATCTACAGGCACAAGTATGGACCTGAAGGGGAGCTGACCCGCTACAAGTCTAGGCTTGTGGCACGGGGGTTTCAGCAGACAAAGGGGAAGGACTATGATGAGGTGTTTGCTCCTGTGGGGAAAGGAACAACACTGAGGGTGCTGTTGGCGATAGCTGCACTCCTGGGATGGAAGATTCGGCAGATGGATATTGTGACTGCCTTTCTGAATGGGATCATTATGGAGGAGGTGTACATGAAGCAGCCAGAGGGGCTGGATGATGGGAGCGGCAGGGTCTGCAGGCTGAAGAAGGCAATCTATGGCCTTAAGCAGGCGCCTCGTGCATGGTATCACAAGTTGGAGGAGGCGCTGGTGGCTGGGGGTTTCAAGAAGAGTGAGTGTGACCCCAGCCTGTTCCTGCTGCAGGAGAAGGACGAAATCCTCATGCTCTTGGTGTATATGGATGATATCCTTCTCTTTTCTGCATCCACTGCTTTGCTGGACAGCGCAGAGCAGATGCTGGAGATGCAGTTCAAGTGCTCCAAGATGGGTGAGGTGAAGTACTACTTGGGGATGCATGTGGAGAGAGATGTGGAGAAGGGTGTGCTGAGGTTGCACCAGAGGAAGTACTGTGAGGGGCTGGCTGAGAAGTATGGGCTGCAAGATGGGGGAAAGCCAGCAACACCACTACCTTCAGGGTTTACTGTGGAGCCATGTGCTGATGAGGAGGTAGTGGGTGAGAGTGACAGGAAGCTGTTTCATTCGATGGTTGGGTCGCTGAATTATGCTGCAAATCATACACGGCCTGACATTGCATTTTCTACATCACGGTTGGCTAGTGTGGTCTCACGCCCTAGTCATGAGCAGCTGGAAGCGGCCAAGAGGTTGGTCCGCTATGTGAGTGCTACGGCATCAGTGGGATTGGAGTACAGTGGAGTGAGGCAGCGGTTGCAGAGAGGTGCTGCAGATGTGAAGAGTGGTGAGATGCTCTTGAGTTGCTATACTGACGCTAGCTTCAACTCAGTGAAAGCGGATGGCACCAGCATTGGGGGTTCTGGGGGCTCCTCTAATTCCTTGTGAGATTCTTGAACTTTGATTGAACTCTTGAGATTGAGTTAAGTTCTCCTCCTACAGCTTACCCCCTAGTGCGTCGAAAGCCATAGCGTCGCGAATACTTCATCAATCAACGTGATTCAAATTGGGAACGGTAGCTGAGATCAAGAGCTACAACATATCCAAGTTTCGCGACATTCCAACGGCTAGTGTTTTGTCGACGTCGTTTCTTGTGAAGACGACTTTTCTGTCCAGAATTTCGGATTTATATTTTGAGTAATTCTAGCTCCTAAGTTCACCTAGACTCTGTCCTTAATCCTAACACATTCTTGACGTTGGTGGACAGATGTGGTTACATGCACGAGGTGGAGAAGGTCGACAGGTACATGGGCGGGCTGAAGCCTGAAATACAGTACCAGATAAAACTGCAACGCCCTGCGAAGCGGTTACAAGACTTCATCCAGCTCGCCAAAGCCGATGATTCGCTCACAAAGCCGAGGACGAACTTCTACGACGGAGGTTGCCCTCGAGAACAGTACTGGCGCGCCATGATAAAAGGGGTGGACGTAGTGGATATTTCCACAGTTGCTCCGCAAAATACGGGGCTACGCTACCACTGTGGCCGGCCGGGTCACATCCGACGCAACTGCCAAGAATTCATAGCCCTCCATAATTCTATGGGGAAGAAGCCGGAGGAGCGACTGGGAAATGGGTCGCGTCAGTAAGTACCGGGCCCCTTACTGACGGGCAGGCTTCTTCGCCCGAGCCACACAGTCCCCACCAGGTCATGATCCCGATTGCTGCAATCGACCGGACCCGGACGAATAAGGGGGACGAAACTGTTGATCACTCTGTGTTGGTGGAGGGTTAAGTCAACGGAGTGTTATTGAAGATTTTCGTTGAAGGAGGCGCGAGTCACAGTCTCATACAGTTGGACAGGGCTAAGAAATTGGGGATACCCTGACTAAAGTGTCTACCCGAAATCGACGCCCGACTAGTGGACGGAACACCGCTGGCAATACGGGAACGAGTGGAGAACGTCGGTTTTCATTGCGGGGAGCATGTAAAATTTCGGATGGGGCTGCTGGCGACTACTCTCGACAAGTGCGACGTGCTGCTGGGACGTGATTGGTTGCGACGATACAACCCGAAGATCGACTGGACGACGGGCGGCTGCAGCATAAAGCTCGATGGGATCTCCTGCAAGTTACCGAAATGGACGGGGCCTCACATGCGAAGCACCCAAGTCCATGCAATAACTTTCAAGCGCGCAATAAAAGTGGGAGCTGCAGCGTGCGCCGTTGATCTTTGCGAGGTGACGTCGACGACAACAGCCGAAGATATCGCGAAGCTATGCGAAGCCATTCTTCCGGATTTAGCGGACCTGATTCGAAAATACCCCGAGATTTTCCCGGACGACCTACCCGCTGGACTTCCGCCGAGCTGACCAGAAGACCATTGCATCGAGCTGGAACCAGGCACCCAACCGACGGTACAGCGACAATTTCGGCTCAGCCAACCAGAACTGGAAGAATTGCAGCAGCAGCTGGATTACCTTCTGACGAAGGGATTTATCCGGCCCAGCACGTCCCCGTACGCCGCCCCGATACTGTTCACGCCGAAGAAGGATGGAGGGTTCGGAATGTGCATCGACTGCCGCGCGCTCAACAGGATCACCATCAAGTCACGTTACCCGATCCCGCGGGCCGACGAACTTCTCGACCAACATCGCGGAGCCAAGTTCTTCTCAAAAGAATTACTTGCGAGAAGGTTACCATCAAATTCGCGTCGCCACCGAGGATTGTCACAAGACGGCATTTCGAACCCGCTATGGCAGCTATGAATACCTGGTGATGCCTTTTGGTCTCACGAACGCGCCCTCGACCTTCCAGATGACCACGAACGAAATTTTCAGGGAACTCCTGGACAAATGCGTCATTATCTACCTCGACAATATCCTCATCTACAGCTGCAGCAGGGAGCAGCACTTATGGGATCTTGATGCAGTCTTCACGCTGCTGCACAAGAATTGCCTCATCATGAAAGGGTCTAAGTGCGACTTTCTTAAGCAAGAGTCGGAGTTTTTGGGCCACATCGTCTCTACCGAAGGAGTGAAATCGACCCCAGGAAAATCAAGACCATCCAGGAATGGAAGCCGCTAAGCAACATCAAGGAGCTGCTGAGTTTTTTGGGTTTCATCAACTTCTTTCGCTCTGCTATTCATCAACAGCGTACCACCGCCACCAGACACTATTTTAATCAGCGCGACACTTCCCGCATCTGGGTCCCCGGCTACGATTATTTGTACCCTTCTAATCCATGAAGCCCTCGACAACCATACCTCGGGACATTTCGGAGTCAACAAAACCATGAAGACGTTGCAGCGGAATTATTAGTGGCCGAACATGGCTGACGACGTTCGCAAGTACGTGTCCTCCTGCACCGCCTGCCAGATTATGAAATCATCCCATCAGCGAGCAGCTGGACTACTACAGCCGTTGGATCTGTCTGAGCGACCCTGGCAACACATCACGATGGACTACGTGACAGGATTGCCGGCCGGTCCCAGCGGAAACGACGCCATCCTCTTGGTCGTTGACCGACTTACGAAAATGGTGCACTTCATCGCCTGCCACCAGACAATTACAGCTAAGCAAACTGCCCAACTGTTCATCGCCAACGTCATTCGACTGCACGGACTGCCTACCGCAATTATTTCAGACCGAGACGCAAAATTCACATCGAATTTCTGGCGCCACCTGTGGGACCAATTCGGCACCAAACTATAGTTTCCTCCGCCTACCACCCACAAACTGACGGGCAGACCGAACGAGTCAACCAAACAATGGAGCAACTCATTCGGACCACCTGCACTGACCCACAGACATGGGAGAAATCCCTTCCGATGCTAGAATTCGCGTATAATAACGTGCCCTCCGCCACAACCCATCAATCCCCATTTTTCCTAAATTATGGACAGGACCCAGTGGTACCCTCTACCCCTAACATTGAGACACCCGTGCCCCGGTCCCATAAATTTGCCGAAGACATCCTCGCAGCCCGAGAAAAAACAGCTGAGGCCATCAAGAAAGCCAACCTGATCGCCAGCCGACAAACCGATCGTCATCGACGTGACGTCACTTACAAAGTGGGAGATCTCGTACTGCTCGACACTCGCAATTTGCGTCTGCCAATCCCGAGCAAGCTCCGCCCCAGATTCTGTGGGCCTTTTCAAGTGACCAATATGATGACACCCGTCACTGCTCACCTCTGACTCCCGGCTAACTGGCGTCACCACCCGGCTTTCCACGTTAGCCTTCTACTGCCCTACGTCCCCAGTTCATCACAGGTGGCCCGCCACCGCAGTGTACCGCAGCTGACGCCCCTGCAGGAACCGACGACCGAGCCCTTGAAAAATCTCGGCCATCGAGTCACGACGCAGCTGAACCGTCGGATGGTGGATTTCCTCGTCCACTGGCGCGATCGCACGTCCGAAGATGACAGCTGGGTGCCCCTCGCTGAGCTAGAATCACACCCGATTCTAACAGCGTATTATCAGCGTCGGAATGTTTCCGATGCCCGCGGTCTCGTTTAGGAGGGGGGGTAGTGTAAGGAATTTCCATTCATTACTGAGTCGTACGCTAGCGCGTACACCAGTGCTGATCTTTGGTTTTTCACTACTCTGATTTTTACGAGTGAAATCTGTGCCACTCTGATTTTCAAGGTTACCTGGAGCACTAACCCTGGTTTTTCAGGGTTTTTCTCTGTTTCCTAAATAATAACTCTGATCATAAGGGATCATTCCTAGAGACACTTTCATTAACAAAAGTGCACAGATCATGCCCACTTTTGCACAAGCAGCCACCACAGTCACATCGCTCATGGAAATGCCTTACAACGGGCGCCGGACGACCAAACCAAAGGCACTTGTATTACGCTCTAGGGGCTTTGTGCTTACATTTCCGGTTCTGGAAAATCCGGAACTAGTACAATTCGCGAAAGATTTGCCCAGAAGGACATTCACGAAGCCCTATCAAAATGTGCTGCGAACTATGTATCTAGCCCAAGTAATGGTTTTAGACGAGAACCGGAACTAAGCACCACGCCCTTAGGCGAGGCAATGAGGGTCAGGTTCAGGGTCGCATCCAGAGTCGCGGCGCAAGCGGCAAATGATGTGTACAGTCCCAAGCGGGCGGTGCGTGTGATACCGGGCTGGAATCCGAGTCAAGGATCGAGGGTCCTTGTTAGGCCCATCTGTTTTTCTTCCGCGACGAAATCTGGGTTTCACTCGCATTACGTGTGGTTCTCCTCGTGCCCGCATGCACATCAAGGCACCTGCGGTGATGTGTCTCGTCATCACCAAGGGTTCAGCAAAGCACGCCGATTCTAGTTTGCTGGGCTGTGGAGGAGTGCGCAAAACTTTTGGGTTGCAGGAGGTTCTTGGGGGAATTAGCTACAGGAAGTAATGTCTCTGGCTGTGGGGGACTTAGCTGAATTTTTAGGATACGGGAGGGTGCTTGGGAGAAATGTTTTTGGCTGTGAGGGACTTAGCCGAATGGGTTGCAGGGGGTGCTTGGTAGGAAAGTCTCTGGTTGTGGATGTTAAATTATATATTGAGTTATATAATTATTAGGCTTGGTAGGTTACCGAACTTTACTGTAGAGGGTACAATCCCCTCCTTGTATGCCTCTCTCTTTCTATTCCATCTCTCTTTTCTCTCCTCAACTTTTCTCCTTCCTAAACCTCATGCCTTTCCTAGCTTCCTAGCCATTCTTGCATTCCAACATGCTATCAGAGTAGGAGGTCCTCCCTGCTGGACCGCCTCCTCACGCTTCCGCCGCGTACTCCTCACCCTCGTTCGCTCGCGCGGCCATGGCGGCCACGTTTTGCTGCAGTGGCGGCGTCGTAATGCCGCTGGCCGCGTCGTGCCGCGGCCGTCTCGAAGCGCTGCCGTGGTGTTGGCCCGTCGTGCTGCCGTTGCAGCGTCGACGTCCCGCCGCGGCATCGACGCCGCTCTGTGACGGCGTCGTCGGGCTGCAGCCGGCCGCGCGACGCCTGTGGCGCCGCTAGACCGGCCGCCCGCATGCCAGCCTGTTGCGCCCCGCCTCCCTCTCCTTCCCCTGTGTCCTCTTCCTTTCCGCAGACGACGGCTGACTCCCGCCGGCCGTCCCACCGTCGCGGGGCCTGGCCACGTCACCGAGAGGTGCGGGCGCCGCCGCCGCCGCCGCCGCTGTTGTCGAAGCCGCCGCCGTCGCCGCTGTTGCCGCTTGCGTCGGGGCCACGCAGCCGCACGCCGCCGCCGCCGCCGCCGCTGTCGACACTGCCGCCGCTGCCGCCGTCGCCGCCGCAGCCCCTGCAGTCGACGTCGCCGCCTCACGCGCCGAGGGGTCAACCGAGCTAGTGTCGCTTTCACTGTGGCTGGAATGGGGGTGCTAGGTTAGGAGGTGTGGGGGTGTGTGTGGGCTTGTGACTACCAAGCCTAGGGGGTGTGTTAAATTATATATTGAGTTATATCATTATTAGGTTTGGTAGGTTACCGAACTTTACTGTAGAGGGTGCAATCCCCTCCTTGTATGCCTCTCTCTTTCTATTCCATCTCTCTTCTCTCTCCTCAACTTTTCTCCTTCCTAAACCTCACGCCACTGTTAAAGTAAGAACTGAATGAATGACTAGAAGTGGAAACCTAGAACAAATGCTAGTTGGTTGTACTCACTAGAAGCATACCTCAGTCTAGCCTATAACTTCTACATAGCTAATATGTATAGGTTGACACAACCCCTAGGCTAGACAAGGGGTGAAGCTAAGCAAGAAGCAAACAGCTCTGGGTGGCACTACTAGTCCAACCACTGAGGTAGGGGTCTGGAGACCAGTAAGCAAGAATACAAACAAAACTAAAGCAAGCCAGGGCGGCACTAATAGTCCAGCCACTGGAGGTAAGGCCACAAGGCCAGTCTGACAGGCATATATAATACAGAGTACACAATCAGGATCCCAACAAGTGAGTAGCTACAGGAACAAGACCAAGCTGTACACAGTGCCGCTGATGATCTTTAGGCGCAAGCGCCTTAGTAAAGATATCAGCTGTGTTGGCACCTGAGGTCAAGTGAACTACGCGGGCCTGGCGACGCTGCTGTAGCTCGCGCAGGAGGAAGTACCGCAGCTGGATATGCTTCGCTCTGCCCTCAAGCCGAGGCTCCTGACACAGGAGTATCATGGCCCTGTTGTTAGCGTACAGGACTAAGGCAGAGCTAGGCCGCTCACCTAAGTCTGTGAGCAAGAAGGTCAGCCAGCGGAGCTCCTGTGCCGCCATGGCACCAGCGTAGATCTCAGCCTCATAGCTAGACTGAGCCACAGACGACGAGCGAGTGGAACTCCAAGAGATAGCACCCGAACCAAGGCTAAAACAGTAGCCCTGCGACGACCTGAGCGTCTCAGAGTCGTCTGCCCAAGAAGCGTCTGTGTGCCTAGTAAGGACCACTGGCCTGCGTCCTCCTAGCACTAACCCCATGCCCGATGTACTAGCAAGATAACGCAAAAACCTTTTAGCGGCAGACCAGTGCTGAGGTCGGTGTCTGCCTGTAGCCACAAAGCGACCTAGGATGCGGAGAGGGTATGCGAGATCTGGGCGAGTGCAAGTCATCAGGTACATGAGGCAACCCACCAGCTCTTCGTAGGGGCCACTGGGCTCTACTAGCTCCTGAGGAACGGGAGCGGAGAGCCCATGGTCTATAGGTAGAGGTGTGGGCTGTGTGGAGGAGAACTGAAGACCGAACCTCTGAAGGACCTGACGCACCAGGTGTGACCGTGTCAGAGTGATGGTGCGTGCTGCTCTGTCCCTAGAGATCTGCAGGCCAAGATAGCGACGCAGCTCTCCAAGGTCAGTGCAGGTGTGTCTCTTCAGAAGCTCGGCCTTCACAGAGGCCAGTGCATCCCTGTCAGCAGTAGCGAAGACCAGATCGTCTACGTAGACAAGGATGTAGAACAGAGTCTAGCCGGAACGCACAAACAGCGAGGGGTCAGCAGAGGACGGAAAGAACTGCAGGACTGCTAACGTGGCCCGCAGCGTGTCGTGCCACTTGCGAGGAGCCTGACGCAGGCCGTAGACCGGGCGCCTGAGAAGCCACTGGGTCCCAGGGGGGAAGGTACCAGTGAAGCCCTATGGTCGGCGCAGGTAGACCTGCTTGTGTAGGCTGCCCTAAAGAAAGGCAGTAGAGAAGTCGAGGGAGTGAAGCTCGTAGTCGCGCTGTGCTGCTACGTGTAGCAGCGCCTGAAGTGTGGTCATCTTCGGGGTCAGGGCGAAGGTCTGGAAGAAGTCAACCCCCTCTCGCTGACTGAAACCTCTGGCCACGTAGCGCGCCTTGAAGACAGGCGGCTCTCCAGGGGGGCGCTTCACCTTGAAGAGCCACCGACCATCGACTACGTTCACCCCAGGTGGGGGAACTGCGTCGACGTAAGTGCCGGTGGACCTCCAAGATGCCATCTCCTGCTCCATGGCCGCTATCCACTGAGAGGCCCAAGGTCCCGAGGTAGCCTCAGCGTAGGTGCGAGGGGTCGGGATGTCGAAGGCGTCTGGGTCACCCTCAGGGACTAACAGCATGGAGCAGAGATGGGGAGCAGCCTCGGAAAGGAAAGCAAGCTTGTACTGCCTGTCCTCTAGGACGTCACTGCCAAGGGCAGGAGCACCCCCGACGGACGGAGGACGGGCAGGGTCAGAGACCAGAGCGGTAGCGTAGTCAAGGCGGCGGGTAGAGGCGAAGTCAGTGACAGCAGCGACAAGCGCGTCAAGGCGCGAGACAGGAACAGCAGGGTCGGTAACAAGAGAGGCAAGGACCCGAGGGACAAGGGGACGAGCGGCACGTAGGTAGTCAGAGAACGGAGGAGGTGCCACAACAAGGGATGAGGGAGGAGGGGACGGGAGGAGGGGAGGACGAGACGAGCGGGAACGGAGCAACATAGGGTGGGTGGGCAGGACAGGAGAGACGGGACGAGCACGGGAGGGACGGCGAGCCCAAACATGAGACGGAGGAGTAGGGTCAGGGGACAGCGGAGGGGACACAGGAGGGGAACGAGGAAGAAGACGGGCCGCAGACGAGTCCGGCGGCGGGAACACAGGACCGTAGACAGGAAGGTCAGCAGGCGGTGGGGGAGACACCGGCGCGCGGTCCGGGGAGGGAAGGCCGAGCAGGCGGAGAGCGGAGACCGGCGGCGACGGCTGCTGCGACAGCTGGGCCGGAACCCTCGGACCGGCAGAGGCAGGACGACCGTCGGCAGAATCCTCAACAGCAGCACCCCCAGAACCAACACCCCCATAGCAAGAACCCTCTCCAACTCCAGCGGCACCCTCGGGAGCCGCAGGACGAACACCCTCCTCAACGCCAGCACCCCCAGAGGCCAACGGCGGCGACGGCGGCGACGGCGGCTGCGGCGGTGGCGGTGACTGCGACTGCGGCGGCAGCGGCGGCGACAGCGACTACGGCAGGGAAGGCGGAGACACCGGGGAAGGGGGACACGGCAGGGACGGGCCGGGGGGACTACCAGAGTCAGCAGACTCCTCAACGGGGACAACCGACGGGAGGGGAGTGACGTGAGTGACACCAGACGGGGCAGGACGAGGCGGGAGAGGAGCAGGGGCTACCGGGGGAGAGGGAGCCAGGAACAGGGGCGGGGCAACTGGGAGACCTCGGTGAGGCGGGGCCAGGCGCGGCGGGGCCAGGCAGGCGCGGCGGGGCCAGGCAGGCGCGGCGGGGCCAGGCAGGCGCGGCAGGGCCAGGCAGGCACGGAGGGGTCAGGCAGGCGCGACGGGGCCAGGCAGGGCGCGATGGGGCCAGGCGGGCGCGACGGGGCCAGGCAGGGCGCGACGGGGCCTAGCGGGCACGACGGGGCCAGGCAAGGCGCGACGGGGCTAAGAGGCACAACGGGGCCCAGGAGGGACGCGACAGGGCTTGGAGGCGCGACGGGGCCCAGGAGGGGCGCGACGGGGCCTAGGAGGCGTGACGGGGCCCAGAAGGGACGCGACGGGGCTAGGAGGCGCGACGGGGCCGAGGAGGGGCGCGACGGGGCCCAGGAGGGGCGCGACGGGGCTAGGAGGCGCGACGGGGCCCAGGAGGGGCGCGACTGGGCTAGGAGGCGCGACGAGGCCCAGGAGGGGCGCGACGGGGCCAGGAGGTGCGACGGGGCCCAGGAGGGGCGCGACGGGGCTAGGAGGCGCGACGGGGCCCCAGGGGGGGGGGGGGCGCGGCGGGGCCTAGCTAGGGTACGAGCGGAAGCGGTAGGTGGGGGATTCTAACCTACGCGTGATACCATGTTAAAGTAAGAACTGAATGAATGACTAGAAGTGGAAACCTAGAACAAATACTAGTTGGTTGTACTCACTAGAAGCATACCTCAGTCTAGCTTATAACTTCTACATAGCTAATATGTATAAGTTGACAGCCACTTCATGGCTCCTCCTAGCTAAACCTCATGCCTTTCCTAGCTTCCTAGCCATTCTTGCATTCTAACAGTGGAGACTTAGCCGAAATTCCTAGGTTCGGCCAGGGGACTAGTAGGCATTTTTGTCACTGTCTGACGGATTTCATCTGTCGTGAAGGAGTACAGTACAGCAATAATCTGGGGGTATACCCTCTATTGAAAATCCCGCTGGGTAGTACATAGGCCAACTCTGATAAACCAGAGAAAACTTATAATTTCAAAATTTTACCCGGAGGCGAAAGGGTGGTACGCAAAATCAACTCTGGTTTTCAGAGAATCAGAGTAATTTACTCGTGAAAAATAGGCACTGGCGTACACCCGAACTCCTCGACTCGTCATGTTCGGCCTCGTTTATCGGCCCAACCATTTCCCGAGTCGCGTCCGGCATTGTCGCCACATTGCCGAACCTACCCACGTTCCGAGGTTATCGCCCTAGAACGCCAACCCCTATATAACCTCGTGCCTTCATTGCAATAGCGACCTTGTATTTTCACGTTATAGTTCATTTACACTTCCTATATCATAACAGTGAGGGTGAATCAGGTTACATCGCCGTGATAGGCGCCTCATTTGAAGCCACCTGAGAGTGGCGGAGATTCCCAAGGTGCCGTCCCTCCCACCAAAGCTTTCCCTCCCACCTCGAGCTCCCCGCGCAGCACCAGCTGCGTGCTTCGCCCCTGCCTGATGATGGCACTGTCACAGAGGACTTGGCTTTCAACTCGCTCCTCACTGCCGCTTTTGTTGACTTGACCGAGCCAGAACAGTAGTCACGTGACGACATGTACGGAGGTTAGGACATTGCAGGGAAGCAACGCAACGTTCTCAGCCGTTCCGCGCTCTTCTTACTGCCAGCGGCCTTATATTACTGCTTTCTCTTTCGCCAGCTTGTCTCCGTCACCAGGGAGAGAACGACTCGTTCTTGAGCCCCGGCCAGTCCCACCCGCTCCCTGCACTTGGCATTCTCCCCTCAGATCTCGCCGCTTGCATCCTGGCGTCGCCGCTAGTCTCAGCGCCAGGCTCGGCGCGCTGCGATGGACGCCGTTTACGGCTTGCTGTCCGGCAGCTGGCTGCTCGGCGCGCCCAAGGTGCCGGAAAAGGCGGAGCCAGTTGATGACGTGGACAAGGAAGCGCCTAAAGAATGGACGACCAAGTACCCGTTCAGGTGCAGGCGCTGCCGCTAGTCGCTGTAGAAAGGGCTCCTTGGGACGCGTGCTGCGTTGGTCCGTGCTGGCATGCGCGTCCCCTCCAATGGGTCTTTTCAGTCGCTCCACTCATCGCGCGTGCTTCAGCCACGTCGCGCGCAGCCGGCACTCCGCGTCCGCCAGGATTTTCCCGGCATCTCACGTGTCGAAAGCGACCCCCCTCCCCTCTTCCCCCTCTCCCTTTCCCCCCTCTGCGTTACGCTGCTCTAATCCCCGCATTTCCTTTCCGCGCGCCTGCCTTCCCCATCCCCCCGTCCGCTTTGTCTTCCGCGCGCCCCCTTCCCCCGCAGGAGCGACGATCCGACGGAGCAGCGGCTGAAGCAGCTGCTGGACGCGTACGAGGAGTCGAGCCGACAGGTGAGGCGTCGAGCCGAGTGGTGAGGCGTCGAGCAGCCAGGTGAGGGTTGGGGCGGAGAGGCGAGGCGAGCAGAGAGGTGATCCAACCATGGCGTTAAAGAGTTTCGATCTCTACCATGGATGGAGATGATGTCATGAAAACGACCCGTGAGAGGAGATTGCGTTGACGAGTCCATTGCCTCCCAGCAGTAGCGCCATTGCACTGCTCCACCGCCTCCCCTCCCCCCGTCCTCCCCTCTCACGTGTGCAGGGCGCGTCAGCGGCGTCGAACGCGACGCTGCTGGTGTTCCTGTCGGCGCTGGTGGAGGCGTACGCTGACTGGTTCCCCCCGGACCCCAGCGCGGACGCCGATGACGCCGACGACGACGCGCAAGGGGGCGAGGGCGGCGAGGGCGAGGGGGAGGCGGCGGGGGAGCGCCTGGGGCATCCGCTGGAGGTGGTGCGGTGTGTGGCTCGCCAGCTGGCAGAGTTTGCACGCGTGGCGAATTGTGAGTGGCTGGGGGGGCCATGCTGAGGTGACCATTAAGTGGCAGTGCAACCACCTACCTGGTTCTAGTGGTCAGTGCTGTTCTGTTGATGTACTTCTGCAAATCCGTTGCAATGCCGGTATACTTATTTGTCGCAGAGTTGCTCATCCCTGCAGTCCCACTCTGCTGTCTCTCTCCCTCCTATCAGCACGAGGGCCATCCACGTCTGCAGAGGAGCAGGCAGCCAATCAGGATGCGCCAGCTGGCAGCGCACCAGAGGGTGTGAGCCGGGGCAGCTCGTCTCTGGGCAGCACGTCGCTCTGGATCGCGTCGTTGGCTCTGGGGGGGGGGGGAACGGGCGAGGGGGGCGGGGCGGACAAGGGGGAGGCGGAGGAGGGGCGGGCGGAGGAGGAGGCGGCGGCGTGGGATCGCACGATGCTGGCTCTGCGCGCGGCGTCCATCATCTCGCGCAGCGCGTACAACCGCAAGCTGCTCGCCTTCTTCAGAAGCGTCTCCGCCGTCATCCACATCCTCACCGGTACCACCCCCATGGCCCATGGGCCCTCCCTCCCTCCCTACCTCTCCCTCTCGTACGATCTCTCTCCACTTTTCGCCCCTGCTTCATCTTCCTCCCTCCTGTCTCTCCTGCCCTCATTCCTCGCCCCACGTCAAATCTCTCCTTCACACCCCCCCCACCAGGCATATCAGCGGACCTGCGGGTGGCAGCAGCGCCCATTATCTCCCATCCACTCGCCCCCTCGCCGCAACCCAACCCGCCTCGCCCCACACCGGGGAGGAGCAGCAGCAGCAGTGGGCGGGCGCCCGGCAGTGCGTGGGGGGCAGAGTTTGGGGTCAAGCAGACGGGGGCGGAGAGGGACGTGGATGCGGCACCACCTGCTGCTGCTGCTGGGGGCAGGGAAGGGGGGGGGGGGCGGCAGCAGCGGCGGGGTGGTTGTCTGGGGAGCGGCGGAGTGTGCTGGTGGCGGTGCTGCTGAGCTGCGCCATGAACGCGCTCTCGCTGCTCGCCAACTTCCTCGACGCCGAGATGCACCGCATCGCAGCCCGCGACGCCTTCCCCCCCGCGCACATGCCTCCCCTCTCCTCTCTCGCACACACCCCTGCCCGCGCCTCCCCCTCCCCCCGCAGCGGCGCCCCCTCCCCCCGCCACCTGGCGTCCCCCTCTGCCCGCCTGAGGGGCAGCGGCAGGGGCAGCGGGCGGTGGCGGGGGCGGGGGCTGGGATTTGGGGAGGAGCTGGCGGGCACGGCGTGGGGGGGCAGAGCAGGGGGGAGGGGGGCAGGCGGGGACGATCCGTACGAGAGGAGGCGGGAGGTGCGCGCCATCGTGGAGGCCGTGGAGACCAAGGGGCTGGCGGCGCTGCTGGGTGAGTGCGTGCCAATGGGGTGGCTGATAGGGCTGTGCCATGGGCCGTATTGCGCATGTGTGTCATGTCCTCACAGCGTCCACCATCCGCCATCCATCCGACCACACCTCGTCCCATCCCTCCCTCCTCATCCACCACCCTCTCCTCCCCCCCAATCCCTCTTCTGTGCCTTGGTCCAGCATTGGTCCCCCCACTGCGTGAGATCCAGACAAAGCGAGCCGCCCACTGCATAGAGGCGGGCGGCACGCTGCTGCTGGCGCTGCAGGTGATGCGGTCGGTGGTGTACGCCAGTGTGTCGGCGCGCGCCTCCTTCATCGCCTCCGACGGGCTGCACCAGGCGCTCGCCCTCATCACCTGGCCAACCCACCTCCTCAACTGCCACCTGTAACCCACGCCCCTCCACTCTCACATGTGGCATGGTGGGCTAGTGGCACGGGGGGCTAGTGGCATGGGGGCTAGTGGCACGGGGGCTAGTGGCACGGGGGGCTAGTGGCATGGGGGCTAGTGGCACTGGGGGCTAGTGGCATGGGGGCTAGTGGCATGGGGGCTAGTGGCTTGGGGGGGCTAGTGGCACGGGGGCTAGTGGCACGGGGGGCTAGTGGCACTGGGGGCTAGTGGCACGGGAGGCTACTGGCACAGGGGGGCTAATGGCAAGGGGGGGCTAGTGGCACGGGGGGGCTAGTGGCACGGGGCTAGTGGCACGGGGGCTAGTGGCACAGGGGGGCTAGTGGCACGGGGGCTAGTGGCACGGGGGCTAGTGGCATGGGGGGCTAGTGGCATGGGGGCTAGTGGCACGGGGGCTAGTGGCACGGGGGGGCTAGTGGCACAGGGGCTAGTGGCAGGGGGGGCCTAGTGGCACCGGGGGCTAGTGGCATGGGGCCTATTGGCACGGGGGGCCTAGTGGCTCGGTGGCTAGTGACACGGGGGGGCTAGTGGCACGGGGGCTAGTGGCACTGGGGGGCTAGTGGCACGGGGGCTAGTGGCACAGGGGGTAGTGGCATGCGGGGGCAGCATCTGTGCTGGTGGTTCATCCTTCTTGCAAAGTCACCCGCACTTCTTTGAGCATCTTTTCACCTTGTCTCTCCAATCTTATCTCTCACCCGCATGTCTGTGTGTGTGTGTGGCAGGGAGCGCATCATGGAGCTGGAGAACGATCTGTTTGAGGAGTTCAGCATCCAGCTGCTCGCCTTCTCCGTCATCCAAGAAGCCATGTACTCCGCCCCCTGCCCTGCATCCCCTGCCCTGCACCCCCTGTCTGTGCCCTCTGCCCTGCGCCCACTGCCCTGCGCCCCCTGCCCTGCGCCCTCCATCCCTTTAGCATGCTGCCTTACCCTCCAGCACGCCTTGCACAACCTGCATGCTACTATTTTTCGTGATTCCCACTTTCCATGCTGTTGCCCGCATTCCATGCTGTTGCCCGCATTCCATGCTGTTGCCCGCATTCCATGCTGTTGCCCGCATTCCATGCTGTTGCCCGCATTCCATGCTGTTGCCCGCATTCCATGCTGTTGCCCGCATTCCATGCTGTTGCCCGCATTCCATGCTGTTGCCCGCATTCCATGCTGTTGCCCGCATTCCATGCTGTTGCCCGCATTCCAGGCTGTTGCCCGCATTCCATGCTGTTGCCCGCATTCCATGCTGTTGCCCGCATTCCATGCTGTTGCCCGCATTCCATGCTGTTGCCCGCATTCCATGCTGTTGCCCGCATTCCATGCTGTTGCCCGCATTCCATGCTGTTGCCCGCATTCCATGCTGTTGCCCGCATTCCATGCTGTTGCCCTCATTCCAGGCTGTTGCCCTCATTCCATGCTGTTGCCCGCATTCCATTCCTCGCCATTGTTTGCCTTTCTTTTCTCCATTCAACTCCTGCTCCGTTGTCTTCCCCCCCTCCCCCTCTCCCCCAGCTTCCTGAACGCGGCGGCGCTGGAGATGGTGCGGGACGTGCAGGGCTTCCGCTGCTTCTCTTGCTTCCTGCGCTGGGCCGCCTTCCTCTTCACCAAGTCCTCCTCTGCCCTCTCGCCTGCCCTCGTGCTGCCGCCGCAGCCCTGCCTGTTGCCCTCTCTGTCCACGTCCCTCTCTGCCCCTGGCGACGAGGTGCAGGTGGAGGTGGAGCTGCCGGCCATTGTGGCGCGCCGCGACCCCAAGGCGCTGCTCTTCGACGGCTCCGTGGGAGCCACGCCCAAACGCACCCCCACCGCCGCCGCCGCCGCTGCTGCCGCTGCTGGGCCCACCCTCACCCTGCCTGCAAGTCTACGGAGCAGCAGCAACGGTGGCGGCGGCGACAAGGGCAGGGGCAGTGTGCTGGCAGCAGCAGGTGACGGCGGGTGGGCACGGGAGCGGCTGCTGGCGAGCGCGACGTTCAGGCGGCTGGCGGCGGAGCGCAACAGCACGGACGAGGCGCTCATGGCGTGGAACCCCCACGCCGCCGTCGCCTGCACCGTGCTCTGCCGCTTCCTCGCCGACAGCATGCCCTCCGCCACCATGCGCAGGGGGCATGGGTACGGACACGCCCATGGCCACGACACGGGGTGGGACGCAAACCCAGAGGAGTATCGGGAGCAAGCGGCTCGCAGTGTGGCGGGGGCGCTGCTGGGCGTGTTTGAGCGGCAGGCAGTGGGCGACTGGCACGACGAGGCGGCAGCGCGCATGTTCCGATCGCTGTCCCCCGCACTGCAGCTGTTCGCCACGCACCAGCTGCGCCGCATCCTCGGGTCGCTCTCCTCCGGGGCTGACTACTTCCGCTCCATGCGTGTGTGGCACGCGCTGCTCTCGCCTGTCTTCTTCTTCTTCGGGGCCCGCCTCAGGCCGCGCCAGGTGCTGCCCTTGGCGCACCTGCTGGGCCCCAAGGCTGCCGCACTTGCTCTCCTGCCACCGATGCCTGCTGCTGCTGCAGGCGGGCAGGGCATGGCGGCAGGGGGGCAGGGTGCTGCCATGGGAGGTGGAGGCGGGGCGGCCAGTGAGGGGCAGTGGGGGCAGTCGTTTGAGTTTCAGAGAGTGAGCTCGGTTGGGGAGAGTGCAGCAGGGGCGGACCCTGGAGCAGGTGCAACAGAAGGGGGGTCGGGTGCTGTTGGCAGTGGGAGCAGCAGCACGGGCCATGCCCTGGACTTGTCACTGGTGGACCCGTCTCTGGAGTACGTGGACGTGCCGGTGTCGGTGGAGGCGCAGCGGCTGCGGGGCGACATAGTGGCGCTGGTGGAGCTGGCGGTGTCCGTGGACATGGGGGATGACTGCCTCACCGAGTGCGCGCTGCTGCTCGCCGCCCTCGAGGCCTGCTGCACGGAGCCCGCCCCTGCTGCCCTCCTGGTGCACGCGCTGCTGCGCCTGCTGCAGGCGGGGGGCAGCACCATGGAGGCAGTGAGGGAGCTGGGAGCCGCCCCGCGCATCGCCGCCATCATCGACAGACAGCACGCCGCCGCTGCCTCTGCTCACCCCTCCGCCACGCCTCCTGCCTCCCCCTCACAGCTCTCCATCCCGCGCTCTATCTCCCTCTCTGACCCTTCCTACCGTGTGCCCTCTGCCCTGAGCACAAACGGCGAGGAGGAGGAGGGCAGAGGGGCGTCGTGGGGTGGTGTGCGGGGGGCGGTGTTTGCTCTGCTGGAGGTGGCGCTGGGGGACTCCGATGCCGCCCTCGTGCACGCCGCTGCCGACCCCCATGTCTTCCTGCCGCTGCTGCGCCTGCTGTGGGACGCGGGCAGCAGGGAGTTCGCCCTCCGGGTGCTCATCCTCATGATGCAGGCGCCCTTCCTCGACTCGTCTGCCGGCCAGCCCCTGCTGACGTGCTTCTTCCACCTGCTCTCCCACGCCGCCTCCCTCACCCAGCCAGGCACCGCGCTAGCAGTGGCGGGCCCAGGGGAGGAGGGAGACGGCAGAGAGATGGCGGGGGTGAAGCAGCCAGGGGGGGCGGATGGGAGGGGGAGGGAGGAGAAGGAAGAGAGGAAGCGGGGTGAGAGCGGAGGGGAACTTGAAGTGGAGGTAGTTGCTGAAGCGGGAGTGAGGGTGGACACTGGGGCCGCGGAGATGGGAAGCACAGGCGAAGGTGCAGCAGAGGATGGGCGGGGTGAAGGGGGAGAGCCAGGAGAGAAGGAGGGGGAGAGAGCTGATGCAGTTGGCAATGAGTCTGGAGACAAAGTTGACGAGTCGATACAGCAGAGAGGCCCGATGGAAGCACTCGAAGTGGCAGCATCAGGTTTTGCAGTGGAAGCAGCGGGAGGGGGCGAGCAGGGAGGGAGAGAGGGGCTGCGTGAGGTAGTGGCAGGGCGAGCGGTTGCTCTGCTGGACGACCTGCTCTCCTCCGTGCCTGACATCGTCACTGACCCCCCCGCTGCGGTCAGTCTGCCGGCTGTGGTGTGAGTGAGGAATCCTATCTCTTACGCCTGTCCCTGCCCCTACCATGGCACCCACCAACCTCGCCTCGCACCTTGTCCTGCTCCCCACCCTCCCTGTGTGCCTCTCCCGCCAGGCATTGCAGCAGCGGTGTGTGGAGGCAGGTGCGCTGCAGCAGGTGCTGGCGGTGCTGGACGCGCGGTACGACGAGGGCGACAGCCTCACCGTCGCCCTCGCTGCCCTGCGCTGCCTCACCTGCCTGCTCGCCGCCAACCAGTCCTCCAAGGTGACCCTCCCACCTCGCGGCCGCGCCGCCGCTGTGCGGTTCAAGTGTGCTTACCTCCAGCCGCTGCGCTTGTTCCCAGCGACTGATCGTAACACCCAGCACGGCACCCAATGGCATCTCTCCCATGCATGTATGCATGTGTGTGTGTGTATGTGCCTCCATCTGTGGGTGTCAGGCAGCCATGGTGCGAGTGGCAGGGGCGGGGTACACGGCCCTGCAGAGGAGGATCCATGCGCTCACGGGGGGGCGGCCGTGCCAGGCGGTGCTGGACGCAGTGCTCACCATGGCCACCGACGGCGCTGATGGCGGCACCTTGCACAACCCCATGGCGCGAGCCACCATCCAGGTGCCTCCCTTTGCTCTCCAGTTTGCATCACACCTCCCTTCAGCCTGCCACCCTCCTCCCCCCCTCTGCATGTACCTCAGCTCGTCGTCTTTCACTTCTCGCTCCTCCCGTCCTTAGCCTTGCATCTTCCTTAATCTCCCGTCCCCCTGTCGCCCCACGTACCGTTGTCTCTCCGCAGAATGGCGATGCGCTCATCCTCTGGCTCTCTCTGCTGCGCACGGTATGCCCCGCCCGCCATGCACGCATGTGTCTGTGCTGCGCCAACGCAATGCTCAGGATGGGGTTCTTTATCCACACTGGGCTGTTAATGGCGCCTGGCATGGCCAAGGGGAAAATGCGCACGTTCAATAGCCCACCCGCGCCTTACCTGCACTCCTATGCGTTCTCTGTTCTCTCTCTGTGCTTCCTCTTGCCTTGTCACGAAATTGTTCTCCTTTCCCTAGCAGTCTTCCCCATTTCTCCCCTTCTGTCACACCCCCATACACCATACCCACCCACACCCTTCTGCCATCCCCATACTCTGCATGGCACCCCCCAGGCGCCAGAGCGGCAGGCGTGTGTGGGACTTCAGCAGCTGCAGGCGTTGCTGGACGACTCCACAGCGTCGTGCGCCGAGTGCACGCGCGCCTCGCTCATGTGGCACCTGCTGCACTGGCTCTCCACACTCGACCATGACTCCCCCTCTGCCACACCCCACGACTCCGGGCTGTTCACACAAGCACTCACAGGCGCTGGCACTGGCGCATGGGACAAACAGCAGCAGGTGGCAGCAGGGGGGGAGGGGGGAGGGCGAGGGGGCAGGGCGCAGTTGGTGGGTGCGGTGGCGCTGCTGGTGGAGACGCTGGGGCGGCACAGCATGAGCGGCAAGGAGATCACCGCCGTCTTCCACCTGCTCAGGCAGGCGCGCTCGGGCAGCCGCGCCCAGCACGCATCGCTGCTGCTGCGCACGCTGCTGGGCGCCATCAAGGACGAGGGGCCCTCGGGCTTCTTTGAACTCAACGGTATCGACTCGGTGAGCCTCACTGCCTCTGCCTGACTCTCTCAGTCCCATCAACTCACAACGCTTTTCGCTGTGCAAGGCACCATACTATGCCAATGCCAACTCCTGACTGCCCATCCGTCTCATGCTTCCCACCTTCCTCCCGTTTTTCATCACCAGGGCTTCAAGCTGCCCCCCGACCTGCACTTCCCCGGCCCCCGCGGCTACACCTTTGTGTGCTGGCTGCGCATCGAGGCCTTCCCCCACTCCCCCGCCTCGCCCTTCCCATCCTCGCCCCCGGGCAACCCCTGGGCCTTCGACGCCGATGGGCGCCTGGAGGAGGCGCGCGCGGCGGGGGCAGAGGGGGGGGCGAGAGAGGGGTGGGAGGCGAGCCGCGAGGGCGCAATGGCGCTGTTCAGCTGGCACACGGACCTGGGCGCCGGGTGCAGCGCCTTCCTCACCCCGGACGACCTGCTGCTGCACGTGCGTGCCTCCCCGCTGCTGCTGAGTCTCTACCCGCTCATTCATTGCTGCCTGCTGCCCTGTATAAGAGTGTGCGTTGCCACTTTATTGGTTTCGGGATCTGCTTTCTTCATTCCTCTGTTCCCGATCACATGTGTGTCTTCTGTCGCACCGACCTCTGCGTCCTTCCTCCAATTCCAATCCCCCCTCTCCACCCCTCCCCCCCTCTCCATCCCCTTGCTGCACGGCCACACATGGCACCAGGTGGGGGGGGCGGCATCACGGGAGGCGGTGGTGGGTTTGCCGCACCAGCTGCGGCTCAAGTGCTGGCACCACGTGGCCATCACGCACAGCGCGCCCACCTTCTCCACCCCCAGCACCGTGCACCTCTTCGTCGACGGCCAGCCCGTGGCGTCCTCAAGGGCCAGGTATGTCTGCAGGGGAACCCATGTCGGCATGCAAATGCATGGAAAGGTGCATGCACTATGTCCCCCCAAGTAGTGTTTCCAAGCATGCATGGAAGGTGCATGCGTTACCCTTTGACTCATGCCGCTTGCCCTCTGACCTCTGCTTCTCTCCTTCCCCACTGCCCCCCCCTCCCCTCCCAGTTTCCCCCGCATCTACGACCCGCTCACGCGCTGCACCATAGCAGCGTGGGCGCCACTCCCCCAAGCTGCCCCTCACGCGCGCACCCTGGTGGACGACGACGACGAGGTGACGGCGCTGGGCATGGCGCCGCCGCTGTGCGGGCAGCTGGGTGCGCTGCACGTTCTGGACGACCCGCTCTCGCCCGACCAGGTCGTGGCGCTGCACCGCCTGGGCCCGCGCCACGCGCACGCCTTCCTGCCCTCCGAGCTGTCCCTCCTGCCGGGGTCCGCCGACTCGCCCGTGCGCGCACTGTTTGACGGCAAGGACAGCCTCGCGCCGCGCATCGCCCTCAGCCTCACCGCACACGCCACGGCGGGCGGCCACGTGCTGGACGGCACGCCCTTCTGGGAGCAGCCCGGCAGCACGAGAAAAGTTTGCGATGCGGTAATGCTGCCGGGCGTGCAGGTGTGCCAGCGGCATCGGCTGCAGGACGTGCTGTCGTGCGTGGGAGGGGTGGCTGTGCTCTTCCCCCTGCTCACCCAGCTGGACGATGATGACAGGAATGACGGGGCAGGGGGCGAGGGCGAGGAGGGGGGAGTGTGGGAGGCAGGGGGGACGCACCTGGCAGTGGACGTGGTGTGCCTGCTGACGGAGGTGATGGCAGGCAGCGCCGCCGCACAGCAGTTCATGACGGTGGTGGGGGGCTTCGCCGTCCTCAACTTCCTGCTGCAGCGCGTGCACCCCCGCCACCTCACCGTCAGCCTCGTCCTCTCTATAGAGAGCCTCACCAACAGCATTGCTGCAGAAAGGGGTAAGTGGGGGCTTATAATTTTATTATGGAGATATTGTGCAAAATCCTGTAGCAGTGCGAGCTGAGGCTGCAGTATTCAGGCCAAGATGGGAGCATCACCATGCCCACATCCACACTTGTCCCGCTCTCCCACCCCCCTCCGCCCTTCAGACTCCGCCATGGCGGAGCAGCTAACTCGTTCGGCGTGGAGCGAGCTGTACCTGGACCTGGCGCTGTGGATCTACGCGCCGTACGCCGTGCAGCGCGAGATGCTCGAGTCCTTGCTGCGCCAGGTGGACCGCAGTCCCGCCCTGCTGCCCGCCGTGTGCCCGCTGCCCCGCCTGCTCGACCTGCTGCGCCGCTTCTACTGGCACGTACCGCAGGGCCGCTCCGTGGCAGGCCTCAAGCCGCTCGTGCACGCCGTGTCACGCACTGTCATTGGCCGCCGGCCCGAGGATGCTGACGTGGCGAAGCTGAGGCTGCTGCTGCTGAGGCTGGCGGAGTACAGCGTGAGGTGAGGGCGCCGGAGGGGGGTCCTCGGTCCTCGTTCCTGCTCACTGTGATTTCCTTCCTCCCCAGTGGCCAACTTCTCCACCCTATCTCCTTTTCCCTTCTCGATGTTGTACCACGCCGCCACCTCCCTTCTATCTCCCGTGCGTGCATCAGGGACGGCTTCTCCCTGGCGGACGTGAGGGCGGTGGCAGCCTTCCTGGAGGGCAGCAAGGACGCCAGCAGCGTGCGCGATGTGCTGCTCGCGCTGCTCTCGCTGCTCTCGCGCCCAGCTCTCCTCACGTCCTTCACGACACATGTGTATTCGCTCACCGGCTGCCACCTCTTCCTCAACCTCCTGGCACGGTCCGTACATGCGGATATGATACGTTGGTAGCTGCTACTGCGCTGCAATGCAATCTGCATGGCTGCCTTTTCCCTGCTCTCACCTCTCTCCCCACTCTTTCATTGTCCTCCCTTCTGCATTCTTCCCTCGCCCTCTGTCCCACTGTTGACTGTCCCCACTGCCCATTTCCCCTTCTGCATCGCCCCATCAATCCCTCGTGTGCCTTCCCACTCGCCCTCCTGTGCCTCAGGCCAGAGGAGGACGTGCAGTCGCTGGGGCTGCGCCTCATAGCAGCGCTGCAGGGGGAGCGCCGCCTGCGCCTCATCCGCGCCTTCTCCTCCTCCCCCGCGCCCACCCCCTCGCCCTCCACCACCCCTCCGCCCATCACCGACGACCTCGCTGCACGTGCGCTGCTGCAGGGCGCCCCCTCGCCCTCCCCCTCGTCGTCTGCTCTGGTGGGGGGCGCTTTGCCGTCCCCCGTTGGTGGGGGAGGGGCGAGCAGGGAGCGGGTGCGCGAGGACGTGGAGCAGGCGGAGGCCATGTTGGGCGTGCTGCTGGGCGTCATGGCGCGCCATGCCTGCCGCGTCACGCCCCTCGTGCACTCCATCCTCTTCGACATCCTCCTCGCCCGCCCCCTGCCCAGACCCGTGAGCCCGCATGTCTGTCAAGTGCTGCCACCCTGCTTGGCCCATGCGCCTTGCAGATGCCATCAACCTGCCTTGAAACCCCACTGCCTGTCTGCAGCTCGCTCTCCACGTCTTTCACTCCCCTCCAACGTCTCTCTTCCCCCCTCTCTCCCCCCCCCCCTCAGTTGCCCCACCGCAGCAGCACCGTGTTCTCCCACCACGGCCCGCTCAGCCCCATGCAAGCGTCGCCCTCCATGCGCCTGCTCTCCCCCGCCGCCTCGCTCTCATCCTCCTCCTCGTCCCTCGCCTACCCCTCCGACCTCTCCTCCTCGCACCCCTTGCTGCCCCCCGCCTCCCTGGACCGCCCGCGAGTGTTCGTGGTGCCGGAGGCCGTGGCGCTGCTGCTGCCGCTGCTGGCAGGGGGGCGCGCGGAGGGGGGTGTGGCGGGGGCGGCGATGAAGGAGCTGGCGGACCACGTGGTGGGCAACACCGTCAACCCCCGCCTGCTGCTGCAGGTACGACCACTGCTGCACATGCGGGCACTGCTTCAGGTGCATCTGCATTGCGTGCTCCTTTTCAAATGCACGCATCACGGCTTGCGCTGCAGCCTACTCCGCTTCCACCAGTGTTGGTCACGCTGCTTCACACTTCGCCTCCTTCTCCCTCCCCCCCCCCCTAACAGCAAAAGGGGTGGCAGATGGACCTCATGGCACTGCTCGTGCACATGCGCTCTCGCCTCTCCCCGGCCCCTCACCCCGCTGCCACTGCCGCTGCCGCCCGCAGCAGCAGCCCTCTTGGCAAGGGGTCCACGGCAGCGAATGGGTGGAATGGGGAGAGCAGGGGCGGGAGGGGGAGTGCGGAGGAGGTGGGGGAGGAGGAGTTGGAGGAGGCGGAGGTGGTGTGGGAGCAAGTGAGGCGCCTGCTGCTGGCCACGCACGCACATGCGCTGCAGCACAGCCCCACGGGCTGGCAGCACGTGGCCGACACTGTGGGTGCCATCCGCACATTCGCCCAGCAGGTCAGGGCCACGCCAACCTGGTGCCGTGCACCTCGCTTGTGCATGCATGCAGTGCCAACGCATCATTCCCCTTCGCAATCATCCTCTCTCTTCTCACGTTTCTCCCCCCTCTCTTCTCCCCCCTCTCTTCTCCTCCCCCAGGGCAAGCTGCCGTACCACCTGGTGCTGCGCCCGCTGCTGGCCGAGCTCATCGCCGTCCAATCAGGCCTCTCCTCGCGGGGTGGTGCCGCCCAGCAGTCTACAGGCCGCAACAACTGCCTCTACCTGTTCGCCCTCGTTGACGAGTTTGCCCTGCATGACTCGCGCCGCATCTTCCCTGTGAGCCATGCATCTTCCCTGTGAGCCATGCATCTTCCCTGTGAGCCACGCATCCCTGTGAGCCACGCACCTTCCCTGTGACCCACGGCCTGCGTGTTCCGTGCAGCCCTTGTGTCTCCCTCTCCTCGCCCATCTCTCCCTCATACTAGTCCCGCCTTGCCCGCTCCTCCATTCAACCGTCGCCCCATCTCACCCCCCTTCATCCCCCATCTCCCCCCCCTTCATCCCCCATCTCACCCCCCTTCATCCCCCATCTCACCCCCCTTCATCCCCCATCTCACCCCCCTTCATCCCCCATCTCACCCCCCTTCATCCCCCATATCCCCCCCCCCAGGCGAAGGAGCTGATGACGTCAGGCGTGGTGGAGGCGGTGGACGGGCTGGCCGGCATCACCACGCCGCGCTCCCACGGCCCCCGCACCCCCCACGGGCCCGCACTGCCCCCCTCCCCACACCACTCCTCGCCGCCCCTCTGGCATAACTCCGGAGGGGCGCTCTGGGGGGAAGGGGGGACGAGCAGGGGGAGGGGGGGCATGGGGGAGGTCAGGGGGAACGGGGAGATGGAGGGGAACTGGCGGGGTGGGGGCGGTGGGGGGAGGGCAGGGGTGGGGAAGCTGTCATGGGCGCATGCGCCTATGGGGTCCGTGCGGTGGGGCTCTAGGGCGGTGGTGGGCGTGTGGGACGAGGGGGAGGAGGGGGAGGAGGGGGAGGAGGAGGGTTTGGGGGGGAGAGCAGGGCAGGGCGGGCAGCGGGAAAAGGGGTCGGTGTCGGGGGACGATGCCTACTTCCGCCCGCTCACCCCGCCAGGCTTCGCACGGCCGTTGACTCCACCTGGCATGAGTCCCTTGGGAGCGGCCACCCGGGGGTTTGTCGCCCCTGCTGCTGGCAGTGGGGACGAGGGAGGCGGGGAGGAGGAGTTCAGAGACATGAGTCTGGACGTGACCAGCGGGCGCACCCCTCTGGAGCTGGACTCAGTGGCAACCAGCGTTGACCTGCTGGACTGCAACGTGGACCTTGACGATTCCAGTGGGGCGGGCAGTGGAGGCTCCCCTGTGGAAGATGGGCGCACGAGAGGGGGGGGAGTGGCAGCGGTGGGGGAGGAAGGGGAGGAGAAGACGAGACACGGGGGTGGAAGAGCAGAGGAGGATACCAGCTCGCACCCATGGGATCAGTGAGTCTGTGGTTTATGTGTGGGGCCGTGCCCATGCATGCATGTTGATGGCTGGGATGGGCTAGAATGGGGATTAGGGATGGGAGGGAGATAGAGGAGGATGGTGGGTGAAGGAGTGGAGGCGGTTGGGCATGTGAACATGGTACGGTTGGTACAGAGGGGAGGGCGTTGAGGGTGCTTGTGCATTGGCCTTGCTGCACCTCTGTTCCGTCCCTGGCCCTCATTCCTCCCATGTTCCCCCTGAATCTCCCCACTCGTCCCCACTCCTCCCCACTCGTCCCCACTCCTCCCCACTCGTCCCCACTCGTCCCCACTCCTCCCCTCTCGTCCCCACTCCTCCCCACTCGTCCCCACTCCTCCCCACTCCTCCCCTCTCGTCCCCACTCCTCCCCACTCCTCCCCTCTCGTCCCCCCGCCTGCCCAGGCTGCTGCAGGCGGAGGACGCGGAGTTCCGCTGGAAGGCGTACGACGGCTTCTGGGCGCTGCTCACCCTCCTGCACAACAAGGCCGACGCCGCCGCCGCCCTCTCCGCCGGCCTCTTCCGCTCCTTCCCGCGCTCCTCCTCCTCCACCGCCCTGCCGCTCTCCCGCCTGCTGCCCCTCGCCCCGCCCGCGCCCTCCAAGGTGGACCTGGACGCGGTTCTAGGGGCGGACGGGGGAGGGCACTGGGGGTGCAGCACGGAGGAGAGACTAGAGCAGCTGGGGAAGGAGAAGTGTCCGCGGGTGGTGTTCCGCCTGGTGCTGCTGTACGCGTACGAGGCCACGCTGGAGGGGCTGCAGCGCTGCCTGCACCAGTTCACTGTGCTCATCCCCGTCATGCTGGGCGACGACAGCGAGGGGCAGCGCAACCGCTTCCACCTCTTCCTGTGGTCGCTGGTGCATGCGCACTCGGCCATCGGGCACATGGACGACGGCGTGCGCGGGGACGTGCTCTGCCAGGCGGTGCACGACATCGTGGTGTCCAGCGCTGCCCTCTTCGCCCACCCTATCAGGGCGGGCCTCAGAATAACGCCCAGCAACTCGGGGTCGGACGAGGATGACGATCTGGAGGCGGCCAGAAAGCTGGTGCAGCAGCAGAGAGTCGAGGCCGCAGTGAGTGCATGCTTGCAGTCTTGACTGCAATTCCTGTCAGTCTTCACTGCATTCCATGCACTCGTGCGTTCAACTCATGCATTTCAACAAAATCCTATCACCCGCACGCCTTTCCCCCCGGGTGCAGGTGGAGGAGGAGATAGGGCACATGCTGTCAGCCGTGGCACAATGGGACAACGAGTTGTCTCAAGCGCGGCACGAGCACGAGACGGTGCGGGCGCAGCGAATGCGGCAGCAGGGAGCCTTCCAGGAGCTGCAGCGCATCGCCCTCTCCGACCTGCTCGACAGCGACAGCCGCCGCCGCGCCGCCGCTCGCATCAGCTATGACGAGCAGCAGGAGAGGGTGAAGGTGAGCGGTGCCGAGGCTGGAGGTGCCGTTTGGCAGCAGGTGAGAGTGCAGGTGAGTGGTTCAACAACTGGTGCGTGGGGCAGGATGGACAGGGTAGGTGCAAGTCTCCTCATTTGCCAATCACGCCCTTTCGTTGTACTCTTCCTTCTCCTCTCCCCTGCAGGGCGTATGGGAGCAGCTGTACCGCGAGATGACCAGCGAGCGAGGCCCCTGGTACTCGCCCCCCTCCTCCTCCTCCTCAATTGGTCCTCTCGTCCCAGGCACCACACCGCCGACCACCCTCTCGTCGTCCCCCGCGGTGCAGCGGTGGAAGCTGGACAAGAGTGAGGACGCGCAGCGCCGCCGCTTCCGCCTGCGCCCGCACCTGCGCTTTGACCAGGCCATGTGCCGCCCGCCCGTGGAGGGGGGCAGGGGCACGGGCAAAGGGGGAGCGGGGGCGGAGGAGAAAGAGGTGGGGGGCGAGGGCGAGCCGGGGAGGGAGGTGGTGGCGCGGGTGAGAGCGGCAGCGGCGGCGGTGGCAGGGCGGGAGGGGCGGGTGGGGGGTCTGGCAGAGAATGCGTCGATCCGCGTGGAGAAGGATCTGCTGGAGGAGGTGGCCATGCTCACAGAGGAGACCCGGACCGCACAGGAGGGGGCAGGCGCAGGGGGGCCAGGGGCGGTCGTGGCGGGGGCAGGTGCGGGTGGGGGAGGGGAGGTGGGCGTGCGGTCTGGCGGGTCGCAGCTGGGGCTCAGATTCGATACCGATGACGAGGTGAGGGTCGTGTCTCCTAGGGGACGCGCCCCTTGTTGCCAGCTCCACATGCTGTGAGTGCAAGCCACTGTGACCCCAAGTCCCATTGCTGCTCTCCAGCACTTCCAATTCCCATCCCTCTCATCCTCTTCCCCCTCCCACCTGGTGCAGGTGGTGACGAGCCTGCCGTGCGTGATGCTGACGGCGAAGCGCAAGCTGGGCGGGCGCATGGAGCTGCGGCACCGCACGCTGCACTTCTTCGCCGACTTCGTCTTCGAGGGCACCGCTGGCTCGTCACTCTTTGCCGCCGACGGCACCCTCAGACCGCCGCAGGGCGGAGGCGGCGAGGCGGAGCGCGGCGCGCCCAAGGTGGGTCCGCGGGAGCGGTGGCGGCGCGTGACGCAGCGGCTGCTGCTGGTGGCGAAGCTGCAGCCCACGGAGAAGACGCTGGGGCGGGCGAGCGTGCGGGCGGCCAAGGACCCGGACGTGCTGGAGGAAGTCAAGATGCACCGCCAGTGGCCGCTGGACGAGGTAGGACGGATTGTAATTTGGCATCATTGCTGCATGTGTGCGTGGAGGACTATAGGTTGTTGCAAGACAGCTGCATGCATGCAAGCCCGGCTGACGCTTCATGCTGCCACAACCTGACGTCCTTCGCCTCTACTTTTCGTCAACTATCTTCCTTTCTCCCACACCAGCCTCCCGGTTACCTTGCTAACAACCCCATCTCCCGGTTTCCCTTTCCTCGCTCCATGTCCCCCCCTGCTCCCCCAGCTGAGCCTCATCCGCGTCACGCGCTTCCTCCTGCGCCACACGGCGCTCGAGCTCTCCTTCACCTCGCCCGCCGCGCGCCCGCCCGCCCTCTTCACCTTCGCGTCGCCACGCCTTGCGGCCGACTTCGCCTCCAAGATCGCCGCCGTGGCCAACGCGTCGGCGCGCTCGTCCCGTGCGCGTGGGGAGCACGTGATGGTGGTGGACCGCCGCCGCGCCGCGGAGCGCGCGGAGAAGGCGGCGGCGGCGTGGCGGGCCCGTGAGCTGAGCAACTTTGAGTACCTGATGGCACTGAACACGCTGGCGGGGCGAACGTACAACGACCTGGCGCAGTACCCCGTGTTCCCCTGGGTCATCGCGGACTACGAGAGTGAGCACCTGGACCTCACCAGGGAGGAGACGTTTCGAGACCTGTCCAAGCCCGTGGGGGCGCTCAACCCCAAACGACTGGAGGTGGGCTGTGTGTTGCCATGGCATCCGGTGCTGCTTGCATGTGCATGTGTGCACACAAGTCTTATGCTTGTGCTGTGTGTGTTGCCTGCATGCACGCTCTAACCCCTCTCACGCTCTCTCGCCGTGCGTGCCACTGCAGATGTTCCGAGAGAGGGCAGAGAGCTTCCGAGACCCCGATATCCCAAGGTGAGCTGCTGCTGCCTCCAGCGCTGTGCCATGACATGCCATGCCATGTGTCTCAATCCTCTATCCGCGCCATGCTGACGTGGCACTCCATGCCTTGTCAGCTCACCCATGCCCCTCTCCCCACACCCTCTCCCCCCTCCGCGCTGCAGTTTCCTGTACGGGTCGCACTACTCCACGGCTGGCATTGTGCTCTTCTACCTCCTGCGCCTTGAGCCCTTCGCCACCCTCAGCTGCCGCCTGCAGGTGAGCCCAGGGCAGCCCTCAGTCAATGCTTGCTGTGCCATGATCACCCCTCACCCCTCACTCCGCGCATCGTATTCTTGCACCCTTCCCACCCTCCCGGCCCCCGTGTCTCCCCCAGGGCGGCAAGTTCGACCATGCGGACCGGCTGTTCCACTCGGTGGCTGTGACGTGGGCCAACTGTCTGACCAACACGAGCGACGTGAAGGAGCTCACCCCGGAGTTCTTCTACCAGCCCGAGTTCCTCGTCAACTCCAACCACCTCTACCTCGGACAGTGCCAGGACGGCTCGCAGCTCAACGACGTGCGCCTGCCACCCTGGGCCAAGGTGGGTGTGAGGAGTGAGGGAGTAGGTATTGGGCTAAGGTGAAAACCTATGGTGAGGGTGAGCAGGTGTCAGATTGTAGGTATTGGGCTTGCCTTCTCACTTGCCTCCATCCACCCCATGCCATGCGGAGAGCAGGGCTCCCCGGAGCTGTTCATCCAGCTGAACCGGGAGGCGCTGGAGAGCGAGTGGGTGAGCGCGCATCTGCACCGTTGGATCGACCTCATCTTCGGGTACCAGCAGCGCGGGCTGGCGGCCATGGAGGCTGACAACGTGTTCTACTACCTCACGTACGAGAACGCCGTGGACATGGACGCCCTCACCTCGCCCATCGACCGCGCCGCCATTGAGGAGCAGATCGCCGCCTTCGGCCAGACACCCGCCCAGCTCTTCCGCCGCCCCCACGAGCCCCGCGGCCCACCCCTCCGCGCCGCCCGGCCCCTGCTGCACCGGCCGGCGTCCCTCGTTCTTTCTGCTGTGGTGCCGGCATGCCCCCCTGCTGGTGGTGGGGGCGAGGTGGGGGAGGTGCTGCGGCAGCAGTGGGAAGTGGGCGTGGTGTTCGTGGGGGTGGCACAGGGGCGCGTGGTGACGGTAACGAGGGGGCAGTGCATGGCAGCTCGAATGTGGAACACTCCGGCCAGCTCAGGATACCAAGTCATGGCCTCGGTGAGAGCATGGGCACGTGTACATGATGTAACCATGCATGCGCATGCATATGCACCTGTGCCTATGCATGTATATGCATATGGGGATGGACATGTGCATGCATATGCATATGGGCACGGACATGTGTATGTGCCTCCTACTTCACCTGCCTCGTCTATTCCATCAGCCCTCCAAACCCCCACTCATTAATAGTAAAAATTGGCTGTGTCTTCCCTCCCCCCCCCTCTTCCCCACCGACCCCCCTCCCGCCAGGACGCGCCCTTCTCTCTCAGCGAGCCGCTCATCTCTCGCCGCATCGGGCCGCCCTTTGCCTCCACCAGTGCTGACGTCAGCCCTAACTGCTTCGCTCTGCTGCGCGGCGCCTCATCGCCCTTCCTGCTGTCGGCGGCCCACTGGGACTGCGCCACGCGCCTCGTGGCCGTCAGTGACGGGCGCACCGTGCAGGCCGTCCGGCAGCACACGGATGTCGTCACGTGCCTCTCAGGTGCGTTCCACTGCTTACCAGCCCAGCTCCTTATCACCTTCGCGCCTTGTGAGCCCCCCTGCCTCCTTTTGTTTCCGTGGTGCTTCTTGGTGCCATTCCAGGTGGCAAGTCTCTCTTCACAACCCCCCTTCCCGCCTTCCAACTTCCCTCTCTCCCGCCCTGCCAGCGTCATCGGACGGCCTGTGGATGGCCACGGGCAGCCGCGACACAACGGTGATGGTGTGGCACGTGGACCGCGCGCAGCCGCGCCCCTCTGCCGACCCGGTGCTGCCGTGCAAGCCGCACGTGGTGCTGTGCGGCCACGACGACGTGGTGACGCAGGTGCTGGCGGCCTCGCCGCTGGACCTGGTGCTGTCGGCGTCGCTGGACGGCTCGCTGCTGCTGCACGCGCTCTCCTCGGGCCGCTTCATCCGCTGCATCCGCCACCCGCGCCGCCACGCCGTGCAGCGAATGGCGGTGAGCCAGCTGGCGCTGGTGGCGGTGCACTCAGATGCGGACGGGTGGCTGCGCGTGGCGTCCATCAACGGCAAGTGGCTTGCTGCCACGCCCACTGGGGCTGCCGCTGCTGCTACAGAGAAGCACACGGAATGCGGTGCCAGTAGTGGTGACACTAGTGCAGGTGTGAGCAACGGTGGTGGAAGCTGTGTGTCTGGGTTCGGCAGTGAGTCAACAGACGGCCAGCAGGGCCAGGCACTGGTACCATCTGCGGCATCAGCACCGCTATCACCACCAGTGGCATCAACAGCAGCAGCAGCAGCAGCGGGGGACAGTGTGACATGCATGGCAGCCAGTGCGTGTGGTGAGTTCCTGGTGACGGCAGGGGCGGCGGGGCGTGTGACGGTGCGGTCGTTCTACTCCCTGGCGACAGTGGCGGTGTACGAGGGCGTGGGCGTGGCGGCGTGCTCCATCGCCGTCACCCGGGAGGACGCCATCCTCATGGGGCTGGAGGATGGCCGCCTGCTGCTCTACTCGCTGGGCGCTGATGCTGCCACTGACTGACCACACGTGCTAACTTAGCCGTGCCACTGCTCTTGCCGTACGATAGTAGTAGTAACTGCCATGGCCATGTCTCACAGAGAGCAGCAGCTCATCTCTCTAAAAAGGCAACTAGTAAAAGCTCCTGTGTGGCAGTGGCTTTGTTCAATGTCGTCAAGCAGCACCTCTGCTTGGCTTTCCCCGTATCGTTTTGTATTGCACTTAGGGCGAATTCCTATGAAGTTGGATCAGAATCAATAATGTTCTTGATCCTGCCGTTTTTAAACATGGGGATCAACAATTCGTCTGCGATCCGACGTGTACACCCGAGTGCTCCCACACAAACTTCGCTGCAACGTCGCCGGGGGGGACGCCATCCCGGCGGGGCTGGGGGAAGGTCGCCTGCTGCCCCACCCGCTGGGCGCCAATACTGCCACCGATGGACTGTATGTGCTGATGTTGCCATGCCACTATGTTCTTGCCGTACAAAAGAGAAAAGGAAATTACGATGCGCATGGCTTGTGGAACGGCAGCAGCTCGTTGCACTAGCATAGCTAGTGGTAGCTACCAGCGATTGTGTTCAGTGTCATCAAGTGCACCAGTGCTTGGGTTTGCACCTATCCTGTGAAATGTATCTTATTGTTGACAAACTGCATTGTAGTATATGTGTGACTTGCCATGATTATACCATTTGTTGTACAGACTAGATAGGCCACTTTCTGGAGCCATTTCAAACCACGAGGACTTGTCCCTGTGAGCCACATCCTTTACACGAGGCCGCGCTCCTTGAATGCAGCGAGCATGGCGTTGCCGATCTGGGCCGGCGAGCGCACCACCGTCACTCCCGCCCCCTCTAGCGCCTTGATCTTGTCCTGCGCCGTGCCCTTGCCGCCGCTGATGATGGCTGCGGCACGAAGGCGCAGGGACGAGGTAACAAGGGGAAGCAGGAACGATTAGGCACGGGAGAACATGGTGTTATGATGTACTCGCAGGGAAGTAGCACAGAGAAAGTGGATGGGAAACTAGGAGGAAACAGCCAAGCCAGGGGGGTCAGTCACCTGGTGCTCACTCATGCCAGCCAACATGACTGATGCTCACCGTTGCAACCCCCAACCCCCCCCCACCCCCCCCAAACCCCCTAATCCTGCATGCAACCTTGGCCTTTCCCCCCTGCATACCTCCAGCGTGCCCCATGCGGCGGCCGGGCGGCGCAGTGAGGCCGGCGATGAAGGAGACGACGGGCTTGGTGGTGCCGCTGGCCGTGATGAACGCCGCCGCGTCCTCCTCCGCACTGCCGCCGATCTCACCGATCAGAATGATGCCTGGGGGGGGCGGGCATGGGCAGAGAATGTGGATACGGGCATAGAGGGATGACAGGGAAGCTTGGAGGGAAGACATGGAGCACCAACGCAGCACCACATCATTCGCACTGCTCTCCCACGCCCACGCCACGCGCCCAACGCAGCTGCCTGACCTTCGGTCTGCGGGTCCTTGACGAACTTCTCGAGGCAGTCGACGAAGTTGGTGCCGTTAAAGGGGTCGCCGCCAATGCCCACGCACGTCGACTGCCCCAGCCCCACCTGCGTCGTCTGGTACACCTGCGCGCACCCAGGAGCGAAGACGCAGGGAGGAAAGGGAGGTGACGAGAGAATCGTGAGAGACGGGACACGGGAATCGGTTTCCACAATATCAGGTGCAACCGGTGCACGGGGGGGTGGGGGGGACGGGGGGTGGGGCATTGGCTCCGAGACATGGGCACATTCCCATCAAGGCTGCACTGACCGCTTCATAGGTGAGGGTGCCGGAGCGCGAGACGATGCCGATGCGCCCTGGCTTGTGGATGTAGCCGGGCATGATGCCGAGCTTGGCCTCGCCCGGCTTGATGATGCCCGGGCAGTTGGGCCCGATCACGCGCGTCTTGCTCTGCTGCATCAGCGCCGCCTTCACGCGCACCTGGGGGGGAAGCGTGGCGCAATGGGGTCGGGGGGAGGAGCAGGCGTAAGATATGGTAAGTTGCTAGCGGGGAGGGATAACGTGCGGGTTGCATCCAAGCTTTGCATGCCATCATCCTTCATCGTCATGTCATCTCGACCCCTCCACTCCCCCAATCCGCCTCACCATGTCGTGCAGCGGGACGCCTCTCACCATGTCGTGCTGCGGGACGCCTCTCACCATGTCGTGCTGCGGGATGCCCTCCGTGATGCACACGACGAGGTCCAGCTCCGCCTCCATGGCCTCCATGATGGCGGCCGCCGCGAACGGCGGCGGCACGTAGATCACAGACGCGTTGGCGCCGGTGGCCTTCTTGGCGTCCTCCACCGTGTTGAAAATGGGCAGCCCCAGGTGCTCCGAGCCCCCCTTCCGAGGCACCACGCCGCCCACCTGCACGCTCCACATGCGGGGAGGGACGCGGGAGGGACATGGGAGGGACATGGGAGGGACATGGGAGGGACATGGAGGGACAGCAAAGGGGGGGAATGAATACGGGAGATTGCTGCTGCTGCGTTACTGTGTTAAATGCATGATGTCTCGGAAGCACGAGCGCGGGGCAGATCCAGAGATCTGAGCCCCTGTTCAGGTGACATCGGCCGCTTCTCGGCAATGGCGGCTGGGGAGCATAGGCATGTGATGGGGGAGAGGGAGAGGGCGGATATGCATCACTGACATGTAGACAGATGTCTCCGACAAGCACCTCTCCTAAGAACGGTTTGCTGCGGATCTGACGCATCAAAATGACCGCCTCCCAAAAGCTTCCAGAAGAGCTGACGTCTGGAAGGACGTTGTTCAGAGCAGAGTCGGTGACATGGCGATCTCTAGCGCGCGCGTCAAGGACGCCTCCTGCGAGAGGACTTCTAGCCGGCCAATGACGCCTACATCTCCCAACAGCGATTCTAATGTGCTGTAACGTCTGGAAAGAACGATCCGAGTCGCACGAAAGTCAACCCGCGCGCATCATGAGGAAAGGCAGGTGCGCTCAGTTCCTTACTTTCATGGCCAATCCACCCTCGCCTAGCTCGAACCAGAGAAAAAGCAGACACTGGGGAGTTAGAGCTAACATGGAGAAAAGAACAAAGATCCTTGCGTTATCTTTCGTAGCTCCTGTATTTCCATGCACGTAACTCCATTCTGATAGCAATGGCATGGCGCGCAGAAGTATGGGGTGCATGACATGCTCGTGCACCAACAGTACCCACCATGTTGGTGCCATACTCGATGGCTTGCTCTGTGTGGAAAGTGCCGTTCTTCCCGGTGATGCCTTGGCACAGCACACGTGTCGTCTTATCCACGAACACCGCCGGCTGGTGCGCTGTCGCCACGGACGACGACGACGAAGAATACCGACGCGCCTGCTCGGCAGCGCGGAGGAGGGTGGTAACTGCAGCTCGCCTTCCGCTCATGATGGCGAATCGGTGTTAGCAGTTGGATCGGGTGATGGCGAAATGAAGGGCTGAATGGAGGTTCTCAGGATGTGCGCGGATAGGTTGGGATCGGACTCGAGATCGCGGAGGGAGCGATCCGGTCGAAGGCGAAAAAATGAAGTGGTGGCGTATGGTGGTGTTGCAGTCAGGCGAGCAGCAGAATCCCAAAACTCCGTAATGGTGGCGGTGGTCCTGAGACAAGCAAATGATACAACCGGAACCAAGTACCAGTTGCAGACAGGCTTGCGGAGGAGATGTGAGGGAGACAGCAGGGGGTGGGACGAGACGAGAGGGGCCAGGAGAGGGGAGGCCATGCTGGAGAGGGAAAGCAGTGAAGAATGGTAACTCGAGGTTCGTCCGTTCTCGAAGGCGTTGACGACGACGAAATGGTAACTCGCTTCGGTCGTTGCCACAAAAGCCCGTTGACGCCAGCGGAATTGCAATGACGTGTGGAGCTGCCAAAAACCAGGAAAATCTCGAGGTACTTGTGTGGGAAAGCAGGACTCGGTGCTGCCATGTCAGCACTCCTCCACGAAGAGAGGAAGACACCGACATAATGCCAATCAGAGGCCCTTCTGCAGGACACGTCAGGAACCATTTCCGCATCTCTTGCGCGTCAGCAATAGATTTGAGTGATTTTAGTGACAGTCGACGAATCTCCGAGTACAGCGGCGTTGCGTTATGCAAACGAAGCGAAGCTGAGGCATACTCCACGAATCTGGTGTCCAATTTTCCATAAAAATGCCATCTTCTAGCATTTCAGACAACATTTCTTTCATTCATTTCCCAACGCACGTTGGATAACTCTGTTGCAATAATATCTTGTTCGAGAGAACTCATGATTCCTCTGCTGAATGACCAACTGCCACGACCCGAGGGGAGAGGAGGTCCACTGAGGCGTGCTCCTGTGGCTTGACTATAAGCATGGGTACATTCTGTGGACGTAGAAAGGGACATGGGTATGGATGGACATGTGAAGGTACGGAAATGACAAAGCACGCACGCATGCATCGCCATTGCCAGAGCTCACTGATAAGAAGGATGGAGTTGGCTAAGCATAAGCGGGAGGCGAAACAGAACAAGAAGCTGAATGGAGCCTGCGATGCAGCGGTGCTTCCATGAACTTCCATGCGATGGGGCCATGGCATGCAGCAGTGGGGGCGATGGGCTCTTACCGCATGGTGCGCACAGTAGTCGCTGACGCTTCCAAGAAGCATCCTGCACAGCACACATGCAGCAAGGCACAAAGAGGGACATCACCGCACAAGCAGGGAGCAAGCAGAGGATGTGTTGAAGATATGGAATGTGGAGAGGCATGCAGTGGCATGCGAAGGAAGAATGCTGTGCATGGCCTAGGAGCAACTTGGCTGCACAGCACAGGCAGTGGCAAGATGGCATGGTGCGGATGCAAGCACTGACTTCTTCAGCCCTGACAGCCCTCTGCACCCCATGAGCAGCACGTCCGCTCCAAACTGCTCCGCCGAATAGCAGATGGTCTCACGCACGTCCCCCCGTATCACCTCCTGGTGCACACAGGTGCACATACAATCATACACACATAGGCACACACGCACACAGTCACATGCACACAGTCACACATGTGCAGACACGCAGGCACAAAGTGAGGAGTGGAACTGACAGGTGAATGCACTGACAAGTGAAGGCCGTTTCAAGAACTCGGAAACGAGAAATGATTGTAGAACCATCAACCCACCGTCTTGCACGCTATGTGCATGCCGCACCTTCTTGCACACTATGTGCATGGCGCGCACTTGCTCTGCAAACCCCTCCAGCATGGCGTCCGCCTCCTGCAGCTCTGCGCGCTCCAGCCGCTCGATCATCTCTGTGTGCTCAGTGTGACGGCGGGGAGTGATGGGGAATCGGGGAGCATGAGGCGGGTGGCGAAGCATGAGGAGGGTGGCGACGCATGAGGAGGGTGGCGAAGCATGAGGAGGGTGGCGAAGCATGAGGAGGGCGGCGAACCACGAGGGCAGTGAATGACGGAGGGTGACAGAATGTGACGCGGCGTTGCGATGAGAGATCACAAGGAATGTGTGAGTATGAGGGGAGATGCGTATGCTGACCTTGGTTGTAGTATTCGCCGTAGGCGGCCCATGGGGGTGTGGGCAGCACGGCGAGCAGAATGACAATGTCGTCCGCCCGGCAGAACTCCTCCAGTGCGTACCTGCGCAGAGGCGCAAGGGGGGTTGGAGTTGGGGGGAAAACGATTGCTATTGGGGCATTGCATGAGATGGGACTGCTCCACGGCCCGGCGGCTGGATGAGCCACTCTGAACCACCTGAGGCCCACCTGAGACCCACCTGTGACCCACCTGAGAGCAAGTCTGCTGCCATCGGAGTTGTCCACTGCGAGCAGCAGCACGCGCTGAGACGATTGGTCCAGCGGCGCCTGCTGCATCGCCTGCTGCTGCTGCTGCGGCCGGTCGGAGGAGGGCGGAGGCGGCGGGCGCACTATGAGCACGGGGCATGCAGCGTGGTTGACCACGTAGTCGCTCACACTGCCCAGCATGGCGCTGGGGGTGGGGGGGCGGGGGAAGCAGGGGGAAGGTGGGGGGGAAGGAGGGGGGTGGGGAGGAGAGGGGAGGCGGGATGGCAGGTGAAAGAAAGGGTGGATGGAGTGAAGAAACGGGAGAGGAGGAATGAGACGGGAATGGAGAGCTGGAAAGTGGGGAGGTGAGGAGAGAGGAGGCGGGGAGGGGGAGAGGAGGGGGCGGGGGGGGGGAGGGGGGGATCTTGCTTCATGATGCCTGGTTCCGCCACACACACAAGGGACGCATTCTACAGTGCTGTTCTCCCCTCTCCCAACTCCCATCTCCCCTCTCCCATCTCCCCTGCCACGCGTGCCTCACCGTGACAGCGCGCCCATGCCGCGTGTGCCCATCACGATCAGGTCCGCCCTGATCGCCGCCGCCCTCGCTACAATCACCTCGCGCGCGTCGCCCAGCGCGTAGTACCCCTGCGCCGTCACCTGCAGCGCGTGACACACAAGGACACCCGTCCGTCGCTCACTCTTGACTACTGGAAAACGGATCTAGGGAAGCGGACGCATGGATGAGCGACGAAAGAGCCTCACGACAGACCAGGGGGGGAAAAAGGCTGAACGCTGTGACGGATAGTTGAGACACAGACATTCCTAGAAGCGGCACGGCGAGCGGCAGGTGCGAGGTGCGAAGTGAGACAAACCGACCTTCGCGGCGTCGGCTTCGGCGAGGAACTTGCGCACGAGACTCGACGCCTCGCTGGACGCACGCCGCGACATCTCGTCCACCACGGCGGGCGGCACCGCCATGTCTGCCGCGCGAGACAGCAATGAAACACAGGAGGCCGTCGAATCAGCGAATGGTGGCCAGCGTGGCACGCGACACCTCTAAACTTCGTCAACAATCGTGTAACCGGGGTGTTTTTGTCACGTGCTGGAATCTAGATACGCTTTCTGCCGAGCCCGACTGACCTCCGACAGCGTTTGAGACGCTGAGGTGCGTGGCGTCGAGCACGTGCAGCGGGTGGAGTGCGTCCACGCAACCAGTTACCCAACCAACCTACTAGGGTTCCTCGACAATCCGGCTTCACACGATTCCAGTCACATGAACGACTCCGGACTCGTCTAACACCGGGGGCGACTGACCTCCGCCGGCGATGGAGACGCTGAGATGCGTGGAGTCCTGCACGTGCAGCAGATGGAGCGCGTCCACGCCCGCGCGGCACACTCGCGTCAGCACGTAATGCACGGCGCGCTCGCTGTTCTCCGACTGGTCCACCGGCACCAGGATCGTCTTCGCTACCTGCGACATGGCCGCACCCGCTGTACGGACGTCTATGAATCTAATCTAGCCGCCTTCTATAGCCTAGACGGTCTCTGACAGAACCACCGGAAAGGCAAATATTAGGTCCTGAGGCCCGACGCCACTAGAAAAATGCTGGGGTTTCCTAGTTAGAATCCAGTTTCATGCTCGCCTGATTCACTGATACTTAGGCGTTTTTTCTATATCGAGGGAACTTCCTCAGCTTGAACAGCCGCCATGGATGACAGGACAGGGCAGGGCAGGGGAGGGTAGTACTGTAGCAAATTCGTCTCGTCTATCTCATCTCATCTCGATGTGCAGTGCTGTTCCTCGGCTATCTTTTCTACTGGTTACCCAGCTAGTAGCCAGCGGCTCGTACTGCCCGTTGGATCAGTCGAATGTTGTACACGAACCGTCTGGATGAGCGAATACGGGAGCATTCTTTGCCTCGCTGGTGGGGTGACGAACAGCTCCAGCTGCTTTGCATTGCCACGTCATGCTGGTGTGGCCCACCCAGGCGAGGGGTGTCCCTTCTCCAGCACCATACTGTACTTGTTATGAATGGAACTGCCGAGTAGCGCGGAGGGCAATGGCGAAACTGTGAACGAGTGAATGACAATAAAATGAAAGACAAAACAATATATAGGAAACCTAGGGTGATCCTGGACGTAGGATCTGAAGGTTCAGAAAAAGTGTCGAAGGGCCTCGATGTGTCGAAGCGAGGTCGAGAAAGGGCCAGGAGGCTCGAACTGAAAGGTCTGGAACCCTATCGCTGGTTCGGGACTGTTCGAGTCGTACGCCTTGTAGCAAGCCTCAGTAGGAATTACTAATTCCTTGCAATACAGACAAAAAACCGGTTTCAATGTCAATAGTTATGTTCCTCCTTCAATAAGTCATCAATACTACTTTTGATTTACAAGGGCAATAATGGAGTGCTAGATTATGTATATTAATTATCATAGACATCATGAGTGTTTGCTATGAAACATGTCTAAGCCGTCTAACTTGATAAGCTCATGTGGATTGCACGGCAAGCTCCTACAGAGTTGTTCATGCACCACTTGACCATGCCCTTCAAGCCACATGAGCTCACCCCTACCAAGGATGATACACATCCGAGCTCCATATCTCACGCGTCATGCCACTTTGGAATGTCTTGTGTTCACATCTGTCCCCCCTCTGCTTCCCCTCAGTCTCCCTAGTTGTGACAATGCCACGGGAATAAGAGGCACGAGAGTGCCAAACCAGCCAAGACCCTGGTATGCTACAAGTGTTTGGGAGGCGGAGAGGAGGATGAAGCCCTGGGCCGAGTAGTTGGCGCCCAGGAAGGAGTAGAGGGAGTGCAGGGCGGAGACGGTGAGTGAGAGCAGGCGCGAGGAGGCGGGGATGGTGCGGTGGTAGCGGTAGATGATGCGCGAGCCCAGGATGAGCCACGCCATGTTCAGGGCGAACAGGAAGTCGCCCACGTACACGCCCTGGAGGGAGCACAAGGGAGGGAGGAGGGAGAGGGGTAGATGCATTGTTAGAGAGTGGTTCAGTGGGATCAAACATGGCAGGAATAAGTGGAAATGTTGGACTAGGACAGACCAGGGGAATGTGTGCGATGCAATGAAGAGGGGAGCATGGAGACACGAATGGCAGAGAGGGTGGGCAGCGGGCTCACATGCCAGACGGCGCTGGTGCACACGGTGAGAACAAGGGGCAGCACGCCTGGCTTCTGGCCCTCCGGCGTCACGCGCTCGTAGATGTCTGCTCACCAGGTGGGGAGGGCAGGAGAGAGTGAGTGAGTGCGCGTAAGAGGAAAGCACAGCAAAAGGCAGGGCAGTCAGGGGGTGACTGGGAGCGAAGTAGCGAGAGGTAGAGCAGGAGTGAGAAGCGGACTCACAGGTGCGGAGCCATTCGCCGGTGCGCACGTTCCAGTTCTTGGCGAAGCCGTGCATGCCCGTCACCGCCTCCACGCCCACGATGTCGATGTTGCGCGCCCGCTTCCAACTCGCCTCCATCACCTCCGCCTCGCACTCCTCTCCACCCCTCCCCTCCCTCTCCCGCTCCTCGTCCGAGTCGATCTGCTCCAGCTGCGGCACTGCTGCTGCCACAGTGACTCTGGGCCTCGCCTTGCTGCTCGTCTTTCTCAGAGTCGTCCTGCTCGCAGGCGCGCTGTTCTCGTCCTCGTCACTATCCGCTAGCATCGCAGCGTCTGCAACCACTTTCGGCAATGCAGGTACATCTGCACCACCAGCGTTCAAACTCCTCTCCCCCAAGACCGTCCTCAACGGCTCGCTATCCTCCTGTCCCGGCTGTCCCCCGCGCCTTCCCCTTGCCCCCGCAAGTTTCTCTCCGCGCGCCTGTCTGCTACTGCATCGTGCAGCGCTGGTTCCGCCTTGCGTCACCCATCCGTTGAACCCCAGTCCGCTGGCCACCATGCTGCCCTCCGCCACCATCCACACGTAGTAGATCTTCGTGCGTACGGCGTACGTCGCCAGGATCGCGTACCCCCATCGAGCCACGTACGGGACGCTCCAGACCTGTGCGGGGTCTGAAATGAGCGCCACGTTCATACGCGGTTTGAGCATCAGGTGGAGCAGCCCCGACGGCACGGCCCACGCCAGCGCCGTCAGAAGCGGCACCAAAAACGGCGTCTTCCGCGCGGATCGCGACCACACACCCTCGTGCCTCGCCCACTCGAGGTACGGTTTCATCTCGAAGTACGGTCCTGTAAGATGCAACCCACCGCAGAACATGTAACCCACGAACTCAAGCGGCGAGGGGAGGTCTCGCAGGTGCCGATCCGCACCGCGGATGGGCCGTCTGTTAGCGGCGGCGGAGTTCGCGGCGGCGGCGGCGGCAGCGGGGTCGGAGAGGTATTGGCCGTCCTGGTAGTCGAAGGCGCATGACGTCAGCTTGAGCGTCACCATCATCAGCGTGCCCGCGAAGTCGATGCCCTGATCCCTGCGCGCCGAGCCGCTGTCGTACGCCACGTGGCTGCAATGTTGGAGGGAAGGGAAGGATGCGGCAGGAGAAGGGGAAAAGGAGGAGGAGGGGGGCGGGAAGCAGGAAAGTGGGGTTTGCTTAGGAAAGGATTGTAGGAGCGCGGAAGGCGGAAGAGGTTGATAGAGGGAGTGCAAACGGGAAGGGATTACGAAGGAGGGAAAAGGACGGAATAGCGAGACGAGGCGCGTACCATACGATGAGGTACGCGAAAGTGCCGAGCAGAGTAATTATCCCGCATCGTCTTCGATACAAGCACATTGCGCTATAGGCGAAGGCGAGGAGCACAGCGTAGTGCACCCAGATGGTGGGACCGAAGGCGGAGAGCGCAAGCAGCAGCCCGCTAAGCGCGCCGAGGACATGGCGCGCGGAGGTGGAGGGGGTGGCGCGGAGGAGCAGGCAGCAGGGGATGGAGAGAAGCGGCGAGACGAGCGAGATGAGTGTGGTGGGCGTTATGCCCAGCTCCGACCACAGCTGCCCTCTGGATGCCAGAGCCATGATATTTGGAGGGGGGGGAAGTCAAGGGGCAGAGGGTTCGTGTCGTGTGGCTTGGAGTTGGTGAGGACGAAACGAAAAGCAGCAGAGATAGTGCAAAAGAGCGAAGGGTAATGTGAACGGCGGTACGTGGGGTTGATTCCAATTTATTGGCAACCCAAAGTCGCGAATTTCTCGCATTCGTGCTGGTGGCGCCTCACATCACATCAACCAGCCGCGTCGCATTCCACTTCCGCGCCTCGACGTTGAGGGGGCATGAGGCGTAGACTAGCCTCCCCGACCTGCCCTGCCATCCTGCCGCACCGAAAGTCGGTGGGTCTGCTGACGTGGATTTGTGAGATGAGATGATACCCCTCCAGCAAGAGGCGGAAAGTTGCCAGGACGCGAACGGGACAGATGTCGCTTCATCTCGTTTGTTTCCATGTAGCGCTAAACGACAAAATGCCGGAATTGCGTTTCGTCTGGCAGGGGCTCGTTCAAGTCACTTGTACTGTAACGCGTTCGGCTCTCTGGCTGGTTGACGTGGTCAACATCACCGAAAGTGACGCGCGGATCGTGTCTTCCGCTGATACGTACGCGGCGCCACATCACACCTCACCAAGAGCAGGCTCGTTCCGCAATGTTTGGGGGTGGATACGGGTAGCTTGGATTACAGTGGGCATGTCACGACACCCCTAAAGTTCGCTCTATTAGCTTGTGGAATCTTGCAATGTGGGAAGGTTGATCTAGAAGCTCAAGAGAGCAGCAAAGGATGAGAGGGGAGAAGGGGGCTAGGTGGTGCTGGACAAAATGTGGATCTCGATCGAAGTCCTGCAGGGTGAGCGGGAGGACATTGAGGGATTGGGGAGAAAGGGCTTAGAAGATCAATATGGTAGCACGAATGGAATGACAGAATAGCAATTCGATGAATAACACACATCTTCTATGCACACTTCTTCAATGCACACATCTTCTATGCACACATCTTCTATGCACCCACAAGCACACACCTTCTCTGTCAGTATCAGCAAGGGCCCACGCCCATGCGCAGCCCCTACCTTGCCGCCTCCACTCTCTCCCCTGATGTCTTGCGCAGCGGAGTGTGAGAGGGAGGAGAGGGCGTGCTGCACTGCGTGCACCTCCTGAGGGATTGGTCACAGCGGGCAGAAGCAGGGAGTGGTGTCATGACTCAAGCAGAGGAGGGGAAGCGACACAAGGAAGCAGAGAAGGCGTGGGAGAAGGCTGCTGTTTCTTTGGCCTTGCAGACACGCCCATGGTTGCGTGGCTGTGGTGAGTGGCAGTGGAGCGGTGTGCGGCTGACCGTGAGGGAGAAGGGTGAGTGGTCGGGCAGGGCGATGCTCACCACGCGCCGCACGTGCAGCTGGGGGGAGGGGGGGGGGATGGCACACGGGAGGCAGCGGTGGGGATGCATCACGAGAGGCGGATTAGCACACTCCAAGCACCGCAAATAGCGCTACCCGTCTGTGCTCTATACCCTCATGCGTATGGTGTCCGCCCATTTGCCATCCACCATCTCAGCGCCCTCACCTGCGTCCTCAGGGTGGCTTCAAGCGCCGCAGGCGAGCCAATGGCAGACAGACACACGGCATCGCGCCCCGCCACACTGCCACACGCCACTATCCTGTCCCTGCCCCCTGCCTCCCCTTCTCCCCCACCCCGCTCTTCCCCATGGCACAGCAGCACGTGCGCCTGGCCTCCGCCCTGACCACTTCCCAGGGCTGTGGGGCCACGCGGCCAAAGAGAGGCAGGAGAGGCGGGAGAGGGAGCAGGAGGGGAAGGCGAGGGGCGGGAAGGAGGCGTGGAGAAGTGGGGTTCGGGAGGAGTGGGGAGAAGAGGAGGGGGAGCGGGAGGGGCAGGGGCGGCGGGGCAGGGAGATGGGGAGAGTAGGTGGAGAGGGCGGAGGGTGGAGTGGAGGAGCAGGGCGCGGGGAGCCATGTGGCCCTGCAGCTGCGCTGCCAGCGCTGACACACACTCTGGAGGGGCCTGCAGCATGGGGCCGAGGACGAGGGGATGGGGGATGGCAGGTGGGGAATGGAGACATGAGTGCAGCTGCAGCCACGAGACTGTGGGAAAAAATTGTTGAGGCAACTTCAGCATTGTGAATTGCAAGTCGGCGCTGCAAGAAACAATGACAGCATGGCAAGTTACCATGTCAGCATGGCAAGTTACCATGTCAGCATGGCAAGTTACCATGTCAGCATTGTGAATCACCACCACATCTGCCCGCCTCAGCGACTCAAGCTGCTCTCTCATTGGTCCCCATGGAACCAGCCGGCCATTGCCCCATGGACTGCTGCAACATAATTGGCTGCTGGAATCGCCTAACTTCCCGTGGCTGGCATTTTCTGCCAAGTCAGCATGTGGAGATGCGTGGCAATTCGAGCAGGCATGTGAATGCGGTTGTGAATCCACGTGCGCACAAGAGCTTGTAAGTGGGTGTGGATGCGGCGGGACGGCATTGACCATGACGATGTCGAGATCGCGATGCAGCGCCCAGTGCTGGTGGGGGGTCAGGGACGGGGGGATGTGTTGGGATGAAACGACTGGGATGAAACGACTGGGATGAAAAGAAGAGGAATGAACACATGGTGTGAGAGAGGAGACGAAGGGAGAGGAAGGGCGAGAAGGAGGTGAAGATGGAGGCACATGGACGCGGATCCACCAATGCGCGCACCACACCACATGCATGCGCAACGAGACCCTGCCTCATCCCGCCACACCTGCATGCCATCATCCATCACCACCGCTCCAACAGGGCCAACGCCAGCACCCATATCATGGCCCTCATGCCTCCCCTCCTCACCCCTCCCCTCCTCACCCCTCCTCTCCTCATCCCTCCTCTCCTCCTCTCCTCTCCCCCCCGCTGCTCCCTCTCCACGTCCCCGCCACATCCCAAACTGGGCAATCACTTGTCGTGCCACGTCAGCACGTTTCCGCCCCACGGCAATGATTACTGGGCGGCCGCTGAGCTGGCGCTGCAGCATGCGTGACTCATCGCCTCCTGCATAGCCCTTGGGACGAAGGAGAGAGAAGGGAGCGGAGAGAAAACGAAGGGGGCAAGCGACGGGACGGAGGGGAGAAAGGGAAGATTGTGCATGGGGAAGGAAGAAAGGGGGGGGACGCAAGGAGGAGAGAGGAGGAGGGAAGAGGAGGTGATGGAGGAGGGGAGGGGGGAAGGAGCAATGGTGAGAAGGCGTGGGGTCAGCAGAGAAGAGGCTGAGTGGGGGAAGGCTGAGCATCATACCCGCGAGGCGATGTGAGGCGATGTGAGGGGAGGCGATGTGAGGGGAGGAGGGGAGGAGGGGAGCTCACCCGGGAGAGGAGGAGGAGCGAAGCGCTGCGAGGGGGAGAGGTGGAGGGGGGAGACGAGGATGCAGGGGTGGTGCTGGTGGTTGAGGCGGCGGCTGGTTGTGAGGGTGAGTGTGAAGCGGTGTTGAGGAGTGAGAGGAGGTGCAGAGCGGTGAAGGCAACCATGGGCGTCTTGCCAGTGCCGCCCCAAGTGACGTTGCCCACACTCACCACGGGCACCTGCAACCTGCCACTCCGCACACAAGCACGCACCCGCACCCCGTGCGCTCACAGATGGAATCGGAACAGCAGGGCGAGGGGAGGGGGGAGAGGCAGAGGGAACAGAGCAAGAGGAAGGCGCGGCGAGCCAGAGGGATGGGGGAGCAGAGCGCAGCACGAGTGGGCGGGCCGTGCGTGTGCCGCGTGAGAATGCAACGTGAGTGCGGGAGGGGGGGGTTGCAGCGGTGCGAGTAAGCAAGTTCCGCCCATGCGCGCCCATGCGCGCCCATGCGCGCCCATGCGCGCCCATGCCCTCCCGCACCTGGTGCGTGTCAGCCACCCCCGTTGGTACAACTCCCACCGTGCGCGCATCACTGCGCCATACCCCGCCGCTCCCGCCGCCAGCACCGCCACCGCCAACGTTCGCAGAGGAGGCGGAAGCCACACGCGCGGACGCGGAAGTCCCCCTACGGCGGATTGTGGCTCCAACCGCTCCCCCGCACGGGCGCCGGAAGCGCTGGGGGAAGCTGAAGGGGGAGAATGAGAATAGGCGGAGGACGTGGGTGCGGGATGTTCGGGGGAGATGGGGGAAACGCGCCGGGAATTACGGGCGAGCAACGACGGCTTTGGCGGCTCATAGGCCAGAGTGACTATGACGTCAGCGAGCCATCTGCGCAGCTGCTGCCCCCACGTGGCAGCGCCTGAGTGGCTGAATGCTTGCTCGCTGCACCGGCGATCCCCAGGCGGCGGCTCCCGCGCGCCCGCGGCACGAGAGCCGACCATCGCATGGCGCGAGGGGGCGAGAGGCGGGATGTGCGTTCAGCGAGGGGGCGAGAGGCGGGATGTGCGTTCAGCGAGGGGGCGAGAGGCGGGATGTGCGTTCAGCGAGGGGGCGAGAGGCGGGATGTGCGTTCAGCGAGGGGGCGAGAGGCGGGATGTGCGTTCAGCGAGGGGGCGAGAGGCGGGATGTGCGTTCAGCGAGGGGGCGAGAGGCGGGATGTGCGGGCAGCGAGGGGGCGAGAGGCGGGATGTGCGGGCAGCGAGGGGGCGAGAGGCGGGATGTGCGGGCAGCGAGGGGGCGAGAGGCGGGATGTGCGGGCAGCGAGGGGCAGAGTAGGGGTGAGAAGGCAGGTGCACGGGAAGTGACCATGTATGGCGTGATGTGGCACGTGGACTTGAGAAGCGGTCGAGCAGACAGATACAGCTGCAGGCGGGACAAAGAGGAAATTGGTGACAAGAGCGACTATGACGAAGACAAAAGAAGGACGATCACGGTGGGACTCAAACCCACAATCTCCCGCTCCGGAGGCGAGCGCCTTATCCATTAGGCCACGCGACCATGCATATCAGAGCAATTAAACAATTTACCATACATGTCTTTTATCGCAACCACTTCAGCTTCCATTTCGTGTTTCCCATGGCGGCGCAGCAAGAGGCGCGAATTCCCGCGGACCCGCTCCCCGTGGCGGTGCAAGACGACCGCCGCTTCCGCAACCTGCTGCCCGACGCGGGCGAGGCGGGAGGGCATGGGGATGGGCGTGCGGAAGGGCATGGGGATGGGCGTGCGGAAGGGCATGGGGATGGGCGGGCAGAGGGGGGAGAACGGCAAAGACGCGGAGAAGGGGGCGCGGAAGGGCGGACGGTAGGGGGCCCGGAAGAGGTGGAAGTAGGCGGTAAGATGGAGGCAAACGAGGCGACACGTGTCGGGAGGCCGTTGGCGCTTCCTTCAGAGGAGGCGTTTCTTGGGGCGGGTCTTGCCCTGAAGGATGAGGTGCGGCTCGCACGTGGAATGCATGCCGTGGGGCCTCATGCATGCCGTGGGGCCTCATGCATGCCGTGGGGCCTCATGCATGCCGTGGGGCCTCATGCATGCCGTGGGGCCTCATGCATGCCGTGGGGCCTCATGCATGCCGTGGGGCCTCATGCATGCCGTGGGGCCTCATGCATGCCGTGGGGCCTCATGCATGCCGTGGAGCCTCATGCATGCCGTGGGGCCTCATGCATGCCGTGGAGCCTCATGCATGCCGTGGGGCCTCATGCATGCCGTGGGGCCTCATGCATGCCGTGGGGCCTCATGCATGCCGTGGGGCCTCATGCATGCCGTGGGGCCTCATGCATGCCGTGGGGCCTCATGCATGCCGTGGAGCCTCATGCATGCCGTGGAGCCTCATGCATGCCGTGGGGCCTCATACATGCCGTGGGGCCTCATACATGCCGTGGGGCCTCATGCATGCCGTGGGGCCTCATGCATGCCGTGGGGCCTCATGCATGCCGTGGGGCCTCATGCATGCCGTGGGGCCTCATGCATGCCGTGGGGCCTCATGCATGCCGTGGGGCCTCATGCATGCCGTGGGGCCTCATGCATGCCGTGGGGCCTCATGCATGCCGTGGGGCCTCATGCATGCCGTGGGGCCTCATGCATGCCGTGGGGCCTCATGCATGCCGTGGGGCCTCATGCATGCCGTGGAGCCTCATGCATGCCGTGGGGCCTCATGCATGCCGTGGGGCCTCATGCATGCCGTGGGGCCTCATGCATGCCGTGGGGCCTCATGCATGCCGTGGGGCCTCATGCATGCCGTGGAGCCTCATGCATGCCGTGGAGCCTCATGCATGCCGTGGGGCCTCATACATGCCGTGGGGCCTCATACATGCCGTGGGGCCTCATGCATGCCGTGGGGCCTCATGCATGCCGTGGGGCCTCATGCATGCCGTGGGGCCTCATGCATGCCGTGGGGCCTCATGCATGCCGTGGGGCCTCATGCATGCCGTGGGGCCTCATGCATGCCGTGGGGCCTCATGCATGCCGTGGGGCCTCATGCATGCCGTGGGGCCTCATGCATGCCGTGGGACCTCATGCATGTCGTGGGGCTCGCTTTGACGCGCCTCAACAGGATGGGCATGAGGGCATGATGTGCCCCTCTCCTCACGCCTCCCCCTTCACCCTCTTTCAGGTGGCCCATGCCACGTGGCGGCACGGCAAGCCTCCACGTGCCTCCCAGAAAGACCCCTTCCTGTACACTGGGCTGCTCGGCACAGCCTTCGTGTGTCTGCGTGCCTTCCACGTCACCCACGACCGTGCTGACCTGGACCTCGCTGCTGACATCGTTCGAGCTGCTGCTGAGCTGGCAGAGCGCCAACGACGCATGTAAGTGAGTAGTTTTCACCTTGAATCCGCACACCACTCAACCTCTTGCCCGCCGTGCTGCGCTGCTAGCTTACTGGCCCATCATTCTCGTCATTGCTGTCCTGCCCTGCCTGTGTGCCTCTCCCCCTTTCACTCCCTCCCTCGCATGCGTCCTCTCCTCGCGCCCCTCTGCCTTTATTGTCATTCCCCCCATCAACACCCCCCCTCCCCCCCCCCCCTCTCCTGTCAGCTACTATTCCTTCTTTTGCGGGCAGCCCGGAATATTCGCTTTAGGGGCGGTCATAGCCCACCTGCAGCAGCGCCAGCACGACAGCGAGAACTTTCTGCGAAGCTTCCTCGACCTCGTCACTGATGCACTCCCTGCCCTCTCCCAGCGCCCCTCCTCGCCCAATGACATCGCGCCAGCTGGCATTCCCTACGAGCTGCTGTACGGGCGGGCAGGCCTGCTGTGGGCGTTACTGTTCATTCGCAAGTATCTCGGACATGCTGCAGTTCCTGATTCTGTTTGCCGCCCGATCTTGGATGCAATCATTGCTGGCGGGCGGTTCTTTGCCCAGGAGTGGTACCCTCCCTTCCACGCCGTGTCTCCCACCTCCCGCCCTCGCTCTCACTCCCCAACCTCACCTCCTCACTCCCGCCACCAAAAGCGGCGCAAGGACAGTGGGGGCGGGCAGTTGAGCGCACAAACAGCTGCAGCCTCCTCCTCCTCCCCGCCTCCACCCTCCCATTCTCGCTCCCCCCGCAAACCCCCCACCTCCTCCCCAACCCCCACGCCCAACCCTCTCCCCCCCCCTCTCATGTTTGCATGGCACGAGAAGCGCTACTGGGGCGCGGCGCATGGGCTGGCAGGGATCGCCCACGCGCTGCTCATGGGGGCGGGGGCGGGGGGGAAAGAGGGCGGGGCCACAGCAGGGGAAGGGGGTGGGGAGGCAGTGGCAGCGTTGGAGTGGATGGTTGCTTACAGACTGCCAGGCGGCAACTACCCCTCCAGTGAGGAGAGACGCCTCGCTGCCGCTGCTCCCGTGGTGGGCGCTGCTGCTGCTGCTGCTGGTGATGCCGAGGGGGGTGCAGGCAGGGCAGCAGCAGCCGCGGACAAGTTGGTGCAGTGGTGCCACGGGGCGCCTGGAGTGGCCATGGCGCTTGCCAACGCCGCCATGGTGCGTGTGTGGATGCATTGCTTGCCGTGGCGGTTGCAGTGTGCCGTGCAACTGCTTTGCTTTCGCTGCTGTTAACTTCCCTCCATCCCTGACCATGCCCTTATGCACACGCCCCTATGCTCCTGCCCCTATCCTTCTCACCCCCGACCCATCACCAGGCACACCCGTCTAGGCGTGACCTGCTGGCAGCGGCGGTGGCAGCGGGCGAGGTGGTGTGGCAGCGCGGCCTGCTGCGCAAGATGGGTGTGTGCCACGGCATCGCTGGCAACGCCTACGTCTTCCTCTCCCTCCACCGCGCCACCACCGCTCTCTGCCCATCCACCACCCACACCACCCACGGCAGCCACACCAGCCACAGCAGCAGGGACGAGGCTACCACTCCCGAGCTCCCCCCTCCCTCCGCCCACCTGCACCGAGCGCGTGCATTCGCCGCCTTCCTACTCGCCCTCCGCCAGCGCCTCGCAGATGCCGCCCTGCTGCACTGCGGCGACCGCCCCTTCTCCCTCATGGAGGGCCTGGGCGGCGTCGCTTGTCTCTTCCTGGACGTCGCCCGGCCAGAGCATGCGGGCTTCCCGGGTTTCGAGCTGTGACTGGCAGGTGGGGCGGGGCGGTGGTAGGGGTGTCGCAGCAGCGAGGCAGAATCGAGGTGACTGGCATGAGGGCCATGGATGGGCCACGGATGGGCCACGGATGGGCCACGGATGGGCCACGGATGGGCCACGGATGGGCCACGGATGGGCCACGGATGGGCCACGGATGGGCCACGGATGGGCCACGGATGGGCCACGGATGGGACAGGGGGGCATTGATTTGCAGCACGATGGTGAAGCAGCAGCAGTGTGCCGCTCCTTGATTTGTAAATACGGCACGTGGATCCGTTCATGGATCCAGTGGTCAACACGCATGTGGATCCAACTTTTGAGGCGCCTCAAAAATAGACTCCTCACGCATGTGGATCCGTTCATGGAGTGGATCCGTTCATGTGGATCCAACCGTTCATGGAGTGGTCCACACTGGATTGTGGCTTGAATGTCAATCCGTACATGGCACCTAGCACCGGGTCACTCCAGGCACCACCCCATGGCATCTACTACCGCACCAGGGGCTGTAACAAGTCGAATGCTGGCAGGTTCACTTGCGCAAGTACGCCTGGCAGCGGCACCCTGAAAGGTAGGTGCCATGCGGCCCCGGTTCACATACCCCCGACTCAAAATGCTTAAGGCTTTTTACAGCCGAAACTAGTTCATAAAAAATACTGTTCGTGCTCTTCAGCTCGAGGTCAAACTCAGAACCGCTGCTCGAGGCCTCACAGCGCACTCAGCCAGGATCACCCTCCATCACGTGCACTCTCACCTGCTGTTACACCACTCACCTGCACTCTCACCCCCTGCTAAAACACTCACCCCTCCACCCGTGCACCCATGCACCCGTGCACCCATTCAACCACTCATTCATTCACCCACTGACCCACTCACCCACTCACCCACTCACCCACTCACCCACTCACCCACTCACCCACTCACCCATTCACCCACTCACCCACTCACCCACTCACCCATTCACCCACTCACCCACTCACCCACTCACCCACTCACCCATTCACCCACTCACCCACTCACCCACTCACCCATTCACCCACTCACCCTTTCACCCATTCACCCGCTTACCCATTCACCCATCACCCACTCACCCATTCACCCACTCACCCACTCACCCATTCACCCATCACCCACTCACCCACTCACCCATTCACCCACTCACCCATTCACCCACTCACCCACTCACCCATTCACCCATCACCCACTCACCCATTCACCCACTCACCCACTCACCCATTCACCCAGGGATTAGTTGTCATGGAAGAGTAGCAGCAGCGTAGGAAGGTCGCGTTAGCAAAAAACTGACAGTTAGAAAAAACTTGTACCCTCAGAAAATAGGTGAACTCGAAAAAGCTCCTCAACCGGCCCGTGAATTGAATCAACAAGCAAACATGTTTCGGTGGTGGGGATCAAACCCACAACACCTTCATCAGTGCATGAGCTGGTAATGAAAAAGGAAACCTCCGAGCGAGGGGTCTTAAAAAGACACCCAAGCCTCGAGATCTACTCTGGGGAAATCCTACCCGGGCCCACAACTAGATAAGAAGTAAGCCAACAAAGCACTGCGGACAAAACCTAGGTGCCCTGTCATTCTTCGGGTTTGTCCTCGGGAGCCTTGGAACCTGCAAGTGGTAACCTCGCGCGAACCAAAAGTTGTTGCACGTTACGTGCACACTTCCAAGCAACCAAAATTCTTCCTGTATTAAATCCGCGGATAAGGAGACGACTTTTGAGGCGCCTCAAAAGTACCCCTAGCTTGAGACGAGCGGTCGAAGGTGTGAACACCGTCTTCAAAACTAGGGGTCCGCGATGAGGAAGGGCTGTTGGTTGTTGTTGCTTAAGTGAGTGGTGCGCTGAGATCTGTTCTATGAGAGAACCACGTTGGCGAAAGAGGACTGTCCGAAAAATGGGTTGAAGGAAATCCGGTGGGTAACCACGTGCACGAAGCCTGTAGAAGAAAGCATGCTTCGTCGCGAGGAAGGCCGAAGCTGATGTCGAACGGAGTAGGTACCGTTTCAGTTCAGCTTGGATGAACCCGACCTTGCAGTGACGTGGGTGGTATGACGAAAATGGTAGGTAGAGATACCGGTTCATGGGCTTCTGGAATGTCCGGAAGTCCAAAGTACCAGAGTCAGCAAAACGATCCCCCTTGAACAAAACCATGTCGAGGAAGTCTACTGACTGCTCCGAGACGTGCCACGTCAATTTAATGTTCGGGTCAAGGCTGTTGAACGTGTTCAGGTAACGTTCCAGCTCATCTCTGGACCCCGGCCAGACGATGAACCCATCGTCAATGTATCTGACGTGTCGAATGGGCTGCGTCCCAGTCCACCTCTGCTTCAGCACTTCGTCCAGTCGGCTCATGAAAAGCACCGCGAAACAGACCGCCACAGGAGTTCCCATAGCAGTTCCCTGGATCTGGCGGTAGATATCGCCGTTGAACTCCACGTAAGAATTCAGCATGACCCACTCCAGCAGGGCCATGACCAGAAGTGCATTGTGACACCGCTCCCTCTGTAGAAAGCCGCTAACCGCATCGAGTCCACGTCTCAGGGGTATGCTGGGGTAGAGCGCGGAAACATCGTACGTTGCCAGAAGAACATTTCGTGGAAGAGTCGTTCGTTCTAGCTCCAGAAGCAGCGAAAGGGAGTCGCGAAGGTAGGATTGTTGTTTAAGGACCAGTGGTCGTAGCTCAGCATCCAACCAAGTGCTGACGTTAGTAGTAACCCAGGAGTGCGAAGCAGCGATCGGCCGCCCCGCCAGGTTTTCCTTGTGGAGTTTCGGTAGGATGTAGAACGCCGCTGGCCTCCAGCCTCCGCTCGGTTGATGTAAGAAATACCTCCATAAACTGTCTCGAAGAGCAGGGCCCCAAACAGCTCGTAAGTCGCGTAGTTGTTGGAGGACAGCATCCGTGGGGTTGGTGCGGACTGGAACGTAGGTACTTCGGTCGCCAAGATGTTCGAGGCAGAGCGCGATGTAGTGATTCCTGTCCAGCACTGTGACGCCCAGGTTCTTATCCGCCGGTTTGATGACCACGCTGGAATCAGCTGCAATGGAACGCAGAGCCCGTGCGACGCCGACGTTGATGTTCCGCGATCGCTTGGGTCTGTTGGCTTTCAACAGGAAGGAAAGATCCGAAGACGTATCCCTGAAAACCTGCTCTGGAATTGGATTCTCATCAGGGATCCAGCCAGGATTCCGTACGCGGAAACGTGAATCCCGGCTGCATCGACCTGACTCGTTGAAGAAAAAGTGAAGGGAAATCTGCCGAAGTAATTGATCGAGCTCCACCTCGGTTGAAAAGGATCTGGCGGGCGTTGGGATGAACTTCAGACCCAACCCAAGCGCCGTTTTCTCATCCGAAGACAAGATCTTGGCGCTGAGGTTGTGTACCCCCTGGTTCAGGACGCGTGACGTCGCCTGCCGATACGTCATTCGACCGAACCAGCGGAGAGCCAGATCATGGCTCGTTAGTTCTTGCGCGGCCCTTTTCCGGGGCCGCCTCCGCCGTTTTTTGATCCCTTGGCAGAAGAAACGTTATTAGAATCGCCTTTCCCTCGCTGGTCGTTGGAGCCGTTGGAGTTCTGCTTCTTTTTCTTCCCTCCGCGCTTCTTCTTAGACTTAGAAGGGACACCATCCTGCTCCTTCTTGTCTTTCGGATCCGCGTTAGAGGACGACGTAGGTTCCTGTCGACCCAGACCGAACTCCTTCTTGAATTTCTTCAGTAAGGTAGCGAGCACGTCCGCTGTAATCTCCTTGCGTAGCGTGCCAGCCATCTTCGTCGAGTGTTTCTTCAAGAGTTCGTCAAACGTCGCTTCAGTTTCCATCTCCTTCAACTCCTCCGCCGCAGCAGATTTCTTCAAGTCTTCGGCGGCCTGCTTCCGCTGTCGATCCAGCTCGCGAATGGTGATGTCATCCTTAGCAACAGCAATGTCGGAGTTAGCCTTTTCAATGCAACGACCCTTCAAGCGACGATAGCGCTCCTTGGCGGCGTCGGAAACCACCAAATCAGGATCAGCATTAAGACTCTGTACGTACTCCTCAAGCTTTGTCGCCAGAGCTGTGACGTGCGAGTTGCTCGCCGCGAGAATCTCCTCAACCTCTGCTTCCTTAGACGCGATGAAGTCTTGCTGGAGTTTCTTCTGATTCTCCAGATGCGTAGCCATGACAGCCTGCGCAGACTTCTCCTTGATTGCAGGATATTTGGTCTGGAACTCGACAGCCTTCGTGCGAATACTGTGAAGTATTTCGCCCGCTTCGTCGAGCGCCTTCATCTTCTTAAGCTTCGATTTCGCCTTCAGGAGCGTCTTGAAATCATCCCGGAAGCCTTGAACAGCAGACGCCGTCCATCCCTTGAATGGCTCGGGAATTGGAGTCGTGTCCACCGAAGGATTCATTGCCGAAACGCTGGGACAATCGGTCGTAACAGCAGAAGGAAGATCAACTCGTTGCTTCTCAGTGAAAATTTGCTCGTGGACGAGACGCAAGGGAGGGATCACGGGATTCACCGCCCGGTATTGCTTAGAAGCAGAAAAACTCGGACGAGCCGCGTTCCCCCCTCCACGAGAAGATTTCGAAGAGTTGCGTCCAACCATGCCGGCTTCCTCTTCTTCGATAAACTTTTCAAAGTCCCAGGGATTAGTTGTCATGGAAGAGTAGCAGCAGCGTAGGAAGGTCGCGTTAGCAAAAAACTGACAGTTAGAAAAAACTTGTACCCTCAGAAAATAGGTGAACTCGAAAAAGCTCCTCAACCGGCCCGTGAATTGAATCAACAAGCAAACATGTTTCGGTGGTGGGGATCAAACCCACAACACCTTCATCAGTGCATGAGCTGGTAATGAAAAAGGAAACCTCCGAGCGAGGGGTCTTAAAAAGACACCCAAGCCTCGAGATCTACTCTGGGGAAATCCTACCCGGGCCCACAACTAGATAAGAAGTAAGCCAACAAAGCACTGCGGACAAAACCTAGGTGCCCTGTCATTCTTCGGGTTTGTCCTCGGGAGCCTTGGAACCTGCAGGTGGTAACCTCGCGCGAACCAAAAGTTGTTGCACGTTACGTGCACACTTCCAAGCAACCAAAATTCTTCCTGTATTAAATCCGCGGATAAGGAGACGACTTTTGAGGCGCCTCAAAAGTCACCCACTCACCCACTCACCCATTCACCCACTCACCCATTCACCCACTCACCCATTCACCCACTCACACTGAGGACTCCGGCCGTGAGGACTCCGGCCGTGAGGACTCCGGTCGTAAGGACTCCGCTGTACTCCTCTCGGTACTCCTCTTGGTACTCCCCTCGACCTGCCCCCTGCCGCCCATAAATGTGCACCCTCCATCACCTTTTTTCACCCTCCACTCTCCATCGCCCTCTATCATCCTCCAACACCCTCCATCACTCTCCATCGCCCTCTATCATCCTCCAACACCCTCCATCACTCTCTATCGCCCTCTATCATCCTCCAACACCCTCCATTACTCTCCATCGCCCTCTATCATCCTCCAACACCCTCCATATCGCTCCATCACCCACCATCTCTCCCTCTCAATTCGACAATTAAATGTTCATATCGGAAACTTGTGCCAGAATACCCAGAGCCCTCCCGGCTTCATTGCGAGCCGGGAGCATTATTTCCTCTAGCTAGTAGCGTTGGCTCCAATTGACCCATGTCATCCATACCACCTGGGATGTGCTGGCGGAACCTTGCCCAGACATTTCCGCGCAATTTTCCGCCGTGCTGCGCTGCTAGCTTGCTGGCCCATCATTCTCGTCGTTGCTGCCCTTCCCTGCCTGTGCGCCTCTCCCCCTTTCCCTCCCTCCCTCGCATGCGTCCTCTCCTCGCGCCCCTCTGCCTTTATTTTCATTCCCCCCGTCAACACCCCCCCTCCCCCCCCCCTCTCCTGTCAGCTACTATTCCTTCTTTTGCGGGCAGCCCGGAATATTCGCTCTAGGGGCGGTCATAGCCCACCTGCAGCAGTGCCAGCACGACAGCGAGAACTTTCTGCGAAGCTTCCTCGACCTCGTCACTGATGCACTCCCTGCCCTCTCCCAGCGCCCCTCCTCGCCCAATGACATCGCGCCAGCTGGCATTCCCTACGAGCTGCTGTACGGGCGGGCAGGCCTGCTGTGGGCGGCACTGTTCATTCGCAAGTATCTCGGACATGCTGCAGTTCCTGATTCTGTTTGCCGCCCGATCTTGGAAGCAATCATTGCTGGCGGGCGGTTCTTTGCCCAGGAGTGGTACCCTCCCTTCCAGGCCATGTCTCCCACCTCCCGCCCTCACTCCCCAACCTCACCTCCTCACTCCCGCCACCAAAAGCGGCGCAAGGACAGTGGGGGCGGGCAGTTGAGCGCACAAACAGCTGCAGCCTCCTCCTCATCCCCGCCTCCACCCTCCCGTTCTCGCTCCCCCCACAAACCCCCCACCTCCTCCCCAACCCCCACGCCCAACCCTCTCCCCCCCCCTCTCATGTTTGCATGGCACGAGAAGCGCTACTGGGGCGCGGCGCATGGGCTGGCAGGGATCGCCCACGCGCTGCTCATGGGGGCGGGGGCGGGGGGGAAAGAGGGCGGGGCCACAGCAGGGGAAGGGGGTGGGGAGGCAGTGGCAGCGCTGGAGTGGATGGTTGCTTACAGACTGCCAGGCGGCAACTACCCCTCCAGTGAGGAGAGACGCCTCGCTGCCGCTGCTCCCGTGGTGGGCGCTGCTGCTGCTGCTGCTGGTGATGCCGAGGGGGGTGCAGGCAGGGCAGCAGCAGCCGCGGACAAGTTGGTGCAGTGGTGCCACGGGGCGCCTGGAGTGGCCATGGCGCTTGCCAACGCCGCCATGGTGCGTGCGTGGATGCATTGCTTGCCGTGGCGGTTGCAGTGTGCCGTGCAACTGCTTTGCTTTCGCTGCTGTTAACTTCCCTCCATCTCTGACCATGCCCTTATGCACACGCCCCTATGCTCCTGCCCCTATCCTTCTCACCCCCGACCCATCACCAGGCACACCCGTCTAGGCGTGACCTGCTGGCAGCGGCGGTGGCAGCGGGCGAGGTGGTGTGGCAGCGCGGCCTGCTGCGCAAGATGGGTGTGTGCCACGGCATCGCTGGCAACACCTACGTCTTCCTCTCCCTCCACCGCGCCACCACCGCTCTCTGCCCATCCACCACCCACACCACCCACGGCAGCCACACCAGCCACAGCAGCAGGGACGAGGCTACCACTCCCGAGCTCCCCCCTCCCTCCGCCCACCTGCACCGAGCGCGTGCATTCGCCGCCTTCCTCCTCGCCCACCGCCAGCGCCTCGCAGATGCCGCCCTGCTGCACTGCGGCGACCGCCCCTTCTCCCTCATGGAGGGCCTGGGCGGCGTCGCTTGTCTCTTCCTGGACGTCGCCCGGCCAGAGCATGCGGGCTTCCCGGGTTTCGAGCTGTGACTGGCAGGTGGGGCAGGGCGGTGGTAGGGGTGTCGCAGCAGCGAGGCAGAATCGAGGTGACTGGCATGAGGGCCATGGATGGGCCACGGATGGGCCACGGATGGGCCACGGATGGGCCACGGATGGGCCACGGATGGGCCACGGATGGGCCACGGATGGGACAGGGGGGCATTGATTTGCAGCACGATGGTGAAGCAGCAGCAGTGTGCCGCTCCTTGATTTGTAAATACGGCCTGTGGATCCGTTCATGGATCCAGTGGTCAACACGCATGTGGATCCAACTTTTGAGGCGCCTCAAAAATAGACTCCTCACGCATGTGGATCCAACTTTTGAGGCGCCTCAAAAATAGACTCCTCACGCATGTGGATCCAACTTTTGAGGCGCCTCAAAAATAGACTCCTCACGCATGTGGATCCAACTTTTGAGGCGCCTCAAAAATAGACTCCTCACGCATGTGGATCCGTTCATGGAGTGGATCCGTTCATGGAGTGGATCCGTTCATGGAGTGGATCCGTTCATGGAGTGGATCCGTTCATGGAGTGGTCAACACTGGATTCTGGCTTGAATGTCAATCTGCGCATGGCACCTAGTACCGGGTCACTCCAGGCACCACCCCATGGCATCTACTACCGCACCAGGGGCTGTAACAAGTCGAATGCTGGCAGGTTCACTTGCGCAAGTACGCCTGGCAGCGGCACCCTAAGAGGTAGGTGCCATGCGGCCCCGGTTCACATACCCCCAACTCAAAATGCTTAAGGCTTTTTACAGCCGAAACTAGTTCATAAAAAATACTGTTCGTGCTCTTCAGCTCGAGGTCAAACTCAGAACCGCTGCTCGAGGCCTCACAGCGCACTCAGCCAGGATCACCCTCCATCACATGCACTCTCACCTGCTGTTACACCACTCACCTGCACTCTCACCCCCTGCTAAACCACTCACCCCTCCACCCATGCACCCATGCACCCGTGCACCCATTCAACCACTCATTCATTCACCCACTGACCCACTCACCCACTCACCCACTCACCCATTCACCCACTCACCCACTCACCCATTCACCCACTCAACCACTCACCCATTCACCCACTCACCCACTCACCCACTCACCCATTCACCCACTCACCCACTCACCCATTCACCCACTCACCCTTTCACCCATTCACCCGCTTACCCATTCACCCATCACCCACTCACCCATTCACCCACTCACCCACTCACCCATTCACCCATTCACCCACTCACCCACTCACCCATTCACCCATCACCCACTCACCCACTCACCCATTCACCCACTCACCCACTCACCCATCACCCACTCACCCATTCACCCACTCACCCACTCACCCATTCACCCATCACCCACTCACCCACTCACCCATTCACCCACTCACCCATTCACCCACTCACCCACTCACCCATCACCCACTCACCCATTCACCCCCTCACCCACTCACCCATTCACCCACTCACACTGAGGACTCTGGCCGTGAGGACTCCGGTCGTGAGGACTCCGGCCGTGAGGACTCCGGTCGTGAGGACTCCGGTCGTAAGGACTCCGCTGTACTCCCCTCGGTACTCCCCTTGGTACTCCCCTCGACCTGCCCCCTGCCGCCCATAAATGTGCACCCACCATCACCCACCATCACCCACCATCACCCTCCATCACCTTTTTTCACCCTCCATCACCTTTTTTCACCCTCCATCACCTTTCATCATCCACGATTAGCGTACATCATCCTCCAACACCCTCCATCACTCTCCACCGCCCTCTATCATCCTCCAACACCCTCCATCACTCTCCATCGCCCTCTATCATCCTCCAACACCCTCCATCACTCTCCATCGCCCTCTATCATCCTCCAACACCCTCCATCACTCTCCATCGCCCTCTATCATCCTCCAACACCCTCCATCACTCTCCATCGCCCTCTATCATCCTCCAACACCCTCCATCACTCTCCATCGCCCTCTATCATCCTCCAACACCCTCCATCACTCTCCATCGCCCTCTATCATCCTCCAACACCCTCCATCACTCTCCATCGCCCTCTATCATCCTCCATCACCCTCCATATCGCTCCATCACCCACCATCTCTCCCTCTCAATTCGACAATTAAATGTTCATATCGGAAGCTTGTGCCAGAATACCCAGAGCCCTCCCGGCTTCATTGCGAGCCGGGAGCAGTATTTCCTCTAGCTAGTAGCGTTGGCTCCGATTGACTCGTGTCATCCATACCACCTGGGATGTGCTGGCGGAACCTTGCCCAGACATTTCCGCGCAATTTTCCTGCGAGGCCCCATGCCCATGGGGGAACAGATCCAATCCATCCCAAATGGTTCGAGCTACATTTCTATGTATTCAATCCGTTTCCCATGAAATCCTGTGTAAACACACGCGCTTATAATTTGGTTTGATTACATCAGCATGCAAAATTTTAGACATTCCGTTTCCTATCAGCACTATGCGCCACATCTCCCGTTCGACCGGGACCACAGTAGGTGGCACGTTTTGATGCATCATGGGTTGGATTAGCTTGCCTCACTCTCTGCCTTACAGCAGGGTGTCGAGTCTATACTAAATACCGGTACTGCATGCAGAGTCACGCACCCATGGCATGACCTAGTTTGTCCCAAGCCTACAAGAGCCACCTTTAGGGACCAAGCAGATCCCAGAGGTGTCAGCCCATGCACACTGCTCACTGCTCTACCCAGCACCAACCCTACTACGTATAAACCATGTACAATCCGCAGGCAGCTTGCTGTCGAGAGCAGTCATGTGCAACACGTGGCCTTCATGCGAGTGAGTCATCTTCCACACGAGTGCGAATCGCCTCTCCTCGCCTACAGCATGAGTCGGCTGGTTGGCGGGAGGTTGGGCATGTGGGCCGTGGTGTTGGGCGACAGCACATGGGGGGACACCACCATGGACGCATCCACCGCCCCCACTCGCCGCACTTGCACGGGAACAAGACGACCGTCGCCATCCACCCGTGCCACCAGCTCCCACTGCTGACGTGTCATGGCCACAGACTCACCCTCCCCATTCTTCTTCACACCACCGTCACTTCCCTTCTCCCTGGCCTTCCCTCCGTCCAACTGCTGCTTTCCTGCTACTTCCTCGCCCCTCTTCTCCTCTGCTTCTTCTCTCCATTCACCCTCATTTGTAGCAGTCCCGTTATCATTTGCCGCAGGCAGCATGGACTGCCCAACACCCTCCACCCTGTGCTCCACCTGCAACGGAATCCGCACCACCCTGGCAGCAGACGCGCTGGCCTTTACCAGCTGGAACACACGTGGCAAGCCACCACTGGCACCACCCTCGGCAGCAGCAGCACTTTCCCTTCCACCCCTGCCGCCCTTGTGCCTCCCCTGCTGCGCCGCCATCTCCCCCAGCGCGCCCTGCAGCGCCTCCCCAAGCGCTGTCAGCCGCCCATCCGTGCGGTTCACAGCTGGGAACGGCCATGGCCCCGGTGCGCCCATGAGCGATGACAGTGCCAGCGATGCGGCGACGGGGGAGAGCGCGCCCCCTGCTGCTGCTGACGTGGCTCGCGGCTTCGCTGACCTCAGCTCCACCGCACCTGCCGCTATCCGTTTGACTCTGAGCTTGGCGGGTGCAAGGGCAGTGGCGGTGCTCCCAAGGTCGTCAGTCGCACCCGCCCCAGTAACGGCCTCCACCAACCCGATGCTGGGGACGTCACGCGCAGGGGGGGAGGGGGAGAGGGGCACGCTGGCGGCGACGATGGCGGAGGGGCGGACGACGCGGAGAGACACGAGCGCGCGCGGCAGGAGAGACGCGGACGAGGGCGCGCGGGAGGGGGAGGACCAGGAGAGCGCAGCGGCTTTGAGCCTCTCCGCGAGGGAGAGGAGCGCGGAGGAGGCGGAGGAGGAGTGGGGGGCGAGCGGGGGAAGCGGAAGCTGCAGCGGGCGCGCCAAGGCGACGGCCTGCGCGCCGTGCACGGTGACAGCCGCGCCTGACGCGAGGATGACCTTCTTGACCTCCCCCGCATCCACGTCGTGCTGGCACGGGGAAATGGGGAGCAGCGCACACAAGCAACGAGAAACATTGAGACAAAGGAACGGAATACGCGGTGGCTGGAACATATGCCTGGTCTACCATCTAAGCTAAGCTACAGTCGATCTGGTCTACCGTTGATCGGCAACCAATCTGTGCTGCCCTTCATCGTCGTCCGCCTACTCACTCTCTCACCACCAGCGGACTCACCGGCATGGCGAGGCGCACGTGCTCCGCGTCCTGCACCCACATCTCCATCGGCCCCTCCACCGTCACCGGCGGCAGCGACCCCGCCGCCGCTGACGTCAGCACCGACCCCGCGACGGATTGCAACAGCGAATCGCCTCGCGCACCCATCCCGCCATCAGCGGCGTCCGCTGTATCAGCGCCTAGCAACGCAACAGACCCCTCGGCTTCAGCTGCTTGGCCTTCTGGTTCCCCGCCTTGGTCCGGTCCCGCGAGTGGTGGCAGGTGGGGGAGGAGGTACTCGGGAGGGCTCAGCTGCTCCGAGAGGGAGAACGCCTTTCGCTGCGCGCCGAGCTGAATCTCGAAGTCGTACTGCAGCACGCGCTGCCACGTGGCGTCCTCCAAATCCACTCTGCTGACGTGAGTCATAGACGTCGGCCACCGGTTTTCAACGCTGACGTGGCGGGTGAAGTCCTGCGGGCAGGAGAGAGCAGAGATTGAAGACCAAAGAGGCTCAGCGAGTTATCACGGGCCGACTGACCAGGGCTTCTACAACGACCCGCCTGCCGCTCGCAGGTTGCAACCATCGAAGGGTGTGGATACCAGTGCAGATGAACTACCTTAAGGGCTTCTTGGATTGACGATCCGATGGTAGGTGCCTGAGTGACGGATGCTGCTTGAGCAATAGACGCCAGAAGACAACCGGCTACACTGGCAAAACATAATAACCGTCTGACTGGGAGTGCTGCTCTCACATCCCTCGCCATGCTCTGCTGATTCAAGCGTCCAGACAGAGAACGTCGGAAGAAAAATCAGCCGCCAAGAGAACTACAACTCCCGAGCGAACAATCTCAAAAGTCTAGCTAACGTCCAGCCACTAGAAAAGCTTCCTGAAGAAAATAGTATGTAGTACCGTTGTAGCTAGCTAGCTGGTCCTTCTCTAAGCTAAGGCGCTGGTGCCGAAACCAACGAAGGAATCGCGAAGAGTTCAGACTGCGTTCTACAGAAAACTAGGAAAGGCATACAACATAGCCTTATCGACTTGCTTAGTAGTACTAGAGAGGCGTGGACCTCACGGGATCAAGGAGGGAGTTACGCTGCAAGCGATGGCGAGGTTGCGGCTTTGGAGCAGAAAGAAAGCATTCGATGCTTCCTGCACCCCGCAGCCAGACTGGTCGCCAGTCAGTCAGTGGCGCAGCCAGGCATCTCGAATGTTCCATCCGCCTCGGACGACGGGCTGCCCCAAGACAGCCGAGGAGCAGAAGGAAATGTGGAGAAGGTGCTGGAAACCACTGGCGATTGGTCGGTCTGATACTGTACCGACATGCGGGGCGGACTGTTGCGACGCGACATGCGCTCAGGCGCAAGATGTGTCAGGCGGGACAGATTGGTTGCGGAGAGTCAACCGTGTACATCGATCGAACAGCCTTCAGTTGAAATGTGCTGTTGTCTAGAAAGTTGGTCGAAGATCGACGGCTGACAGCGGCACAACGCATGGGCCTCAATAGTCGCCAATGAGGATGAGAGATTTTCAGCTGAAAGCATTCTCACCAATAAACGCAGGGCGGAGCACGTTATGCTTATGCTCATCAAGAGCAGACCCCAAACTAATTTTTTACAGCATACATAAGAATAATGATATACGGAATATACAATGCAAATCAAATGTAGAGCTGAAATCCACAAAGCATAGAGCAAGAATTGTTTACACTATGTACACAATCCACACGAAAACAGAGAAAACGCAGCTCGAATCCAGGAGAATGCAGCCTGGGGGGTCCTAGGAGACGCTTATGGTAGCATGGCCAACACCCCCAGCACCACGAGGTTGTGACCTTTCCTTGTAGGGACTCGACTGGAGCTGGAAGGCTGATGGGCGCGACGCATCAAAGAGCTGAAGAGTGGTTGGCGTCGTCCGGAGCGGAACATCAGCTACCTCTGGAGCAGAACTGAGAGTGAGCGCTGAGAAGGGCTTGGAAGAACACACGTCAGAAGACATATCGATGCCAAACCTCAGCCCCTCCTTTGCCCTCCTGAAATCAGACTCCGCTTGCCCATCATCCCTCTGCTTCGCTACAACACCCTCAGCTCTCTCCTTGACAGTCACAGGCACGTCGAGAGGAGCTGTAGCCAGCATGGCTGTGGGCCGAAGCACTCGGCTGCTCCCCTCTGGACTGCTGCAAGTGCCACTAGGGGGCTGTGGCTGCCAGGTAGACCCCAGGCTCAGAGGATGAGGAGGAGGAGGAGGGGGAGGGTAGGGAGGCCACATGTACAGGAAGGGGGGATCAGGGAAGGAGTGGTACGTGGATGGGTAGAACGCATGAGGGGGGAAATGGGGAGGAAACTTCTTCTCAGGAGCTTCAGCGGCAGAAGTTGTTGCTGTTTCATTAAGCGCGCCAAGCCCTCCACCCTCAGCACCACCTTCACATTCCAGCGTACCCTTGTTAGGTCCTATACTCGGAGCCATTATTTCAGCTGAATTGAACGTACCAGCGACATCCTTGGACGAAAGGCCTTCTATATATACACCACCCTCCGCGCCCTTGCTCCCCTCACTCACCACCTTGAACCTCTTTTCAGCGCCTTGCACCATAGCCGCATCCACATCCGCTTCCGCGTCGGCATCCGCATCAAGGTCCGCCAATCCTTCACCTGCTGCGCGGGATGCGGCGTGCATACGCTGCCGCCTCTCGTCGCCCATGCGCAGCATCATCTCGTACCCCATCCTGTGCCGCACCGCCGGATCCATCATCATCATCGCGGGATACACCGCATCTGGACGGCCCGCATGGCCAGGAGGCGGAGGCCAAGACGGGCCCCCTGTAGGGTAGCCACCCCACGGGTCCGCGACGCCAGGCAAGCACCACGGATAAATGACGTCAGCTGGGGGGAGCCTAGTACCCGCGGGTTTATTTACAGCGGGGTTGGCGGGAGTGAGCGACGGGAGGGACATCGGGCGGCTGAGAGAGGGAGGGAGGCGGGATTCGTCGGCGCCAGGCACGACGGGGTAGGAGTGCGAGCGATTGAGGTCCAGCAGCGACGCGTGCTGCAGATAGGCCCGCTGGGGTGATGCGGTGACCGCGGGGAGCTTGGAGGGAAGCTTGGGAGACGATGCGGGCGAGGGGGGATCATTCGCGTCGCTGGGCGGTTGGCTGGGAACGACGCTGGCGCTGTACTTGGCGTCATGCTTGGCGTCGTCAGTCGCGAGGGGAAGAGTGGGCGTGCTTCTGGAGCGAGCCATGTCCATGGCGTCGCCGACGAGCTGCGGGTGGAGCAACGCAGGGGAGAATGGCGCAACGCGCACGACGGGAAGGGATGTCCAGGGGAACGACGGAGAAAGAAGAATGAGGCAGAATAACGAGTCAGCACGAGAAGGGGATGGCGGGACGCACAGCGCGGACAAGGAAAGAGAGTGGCGGGGACCGGAACACGCGGACGAGGACCACGGGACGAGGGAACACGCGGGACGGAACACGCGGGACGGAACACGCGGGACGGCACACGCGGGAGATGATACTCGGCCGGCTTACAGAGTCGGTGTTGATGTCGAAGAGGCTGGAGCGGCGCTTGCGCTTGTTGAGGTTGGTCTGGCGGTTGAAGTACTTCTGCGCGTGGCTCGCCACCTGCGTGGGCGTGCGCGTGAGCACGTAGCTGCGCGCGATGCCGCGCCAGTCGCCCTTCCCCAGCTTGCACAGCCCCATCAGGAACAGCCGGTGCTCCTCCTCCGACCACGGGATTCCTGCTCATGCAAAAAATAGGTGACTTACGAGTCGACTCAAAAGGCCCATCAGGAACAAACGTGCTCCTCCTCCGGACAGCCATTTCGTACATCACCCATGAATCTTTATTGAGGCATCGCTCAGTCTATAATTCAGCGTCTGCGTATTGAATGGCGGCATACGGATTAGCTCCAAAACTTACCCTTCTTCCTTTCCTTGGTAGGGTTGCTGGAGGTACCGCCTCCTGCCGCGCCTCTACCGCCTCCTGCCGCGCCTCTACCGCCAGTACTAGCATGGGCCTCAGGCCCGGTGTCCGACGCATAGCCGTCGCTAGCTGCCGGTGTCTGTGATCCCGTGTGACCGCCTTCAGCATCAGGCGGGCTACGATGCTTCTTTGCGCCGCTCACTCGTCCCTCCCTCGTGCTGCTGTTATCGTCACTCTCCTCCATCCGACACTTGCTGCTGCTTCGCGCGCTAGCAAAGGAATACGACGCCTAGAAGCCTATGCTCTGACGTTTGACGAGCCAAGTAGAGGTCTGATGCCAGAGCTCTTTGGCATTTCAGCTTCGACTAAGGAACTAAACGTCAGCCGACACTTTGCCGGCGGTCGTACTAGCTGTTGGAAGCAAAGGAAAGGACTTGGGGAACGCTAAGAAATTATGCGTGGCTGCAACACACCTACAACCGTTCCGAAGCGCGGTATTGAAACAGTCGGAGTTGGACAAGTGGAAAAAGCTCGGAAGAGCAGGGCAGCTTTTCACCTGCCTGCAGTTATCACGTGATCTAGCAGCGAGATGTTCGACGTCTCCAAGGGCCCTCCCGTCCTCGACTGCACACCACAAACTCCAAGCTCAATCCACAAAAGTGGGTCGCGGCGTCCCTGACTGCGTTAATCGGCGCGCAGGAGCCACACGGCGACTTTCTATCGGAATACGGTTACGTGAGCTGGATGCAAGGGATGCCAGCGAAAGGATGGATGAGCAGAAGCAGCTGAATGAACAGAAGTCATCTGCTTGGGAGACAAGCGGTGGAGAAACCTCTGCTGATTCGGAGAAGTGGGGGGCAGCAAGCACAGCAGCATGGGGAAAGGGAAGGGAAGGCAGAGCCAACGGGCAGTTGCTGGAGGCACTCTGCCTGCAGACGCCTGCTCTGCCCTGCTCGGGGAATTCGCATCGCATCGCATCCTCCTGCTCCTGGGTCTTGATTTGGTCTGGGAGGAAGAATCTAGGCCGAGGTGAGGTGGGGGTGGCGGTCTGCTGATGTTTATGTTCTGCAATTTGGCGCGCAGTCACTGTCTCCCAGATCAGTGGATTGCGGCGAAATGATTGGTGGTCTATCGAAGACCGAATCCCGTGAGCTGCCGAAAATGCCAGATTCAGTGTTCTGGTTCGCTGTAAAAGTTGCCAGCGCCTGACCTTGTAAAACTTCCTCCAAGCGTTCAGGAACCAAACAGAAATCCGGTTCTCCAGGACTCCAGGCCGTGCGATTGCACAAGTGAGTAGCGAACACTTGGGTAACAGCAACATGTTACCCATATTGGAGCCAATATCCTGACTCTAAAACATATACAATTCTGAAGGAAGTTGAATGGAGAATTGCCTTCCTCACCCTTTGAGCAGACCGGAAACGAGTGCCTGTGCCACCGGGTGGTATCCTGCCTTCGCTTCTTCAAAAACCCGTTCAGCCATGTCCTTGGCACCACCCTGGATCAGCCCATTGTAGAGAGGGCGCAGGTACTTCATCCGCCCCACGGACAGCAGGGTTGCCTCCACTTCTGGGTGGAACTGGGTTGCTCCCGAATTTGCTGCCACTGTGAGAAAACCCACCCTTATTTCTGCATTCTTGCTCTGACAGGAAGGTACGAAGGGCGGGGGAGATAGGGTGGTGTGAGACAGGGAGTGTGAAAGAGAGGAGAGAGTGGGCTGGATGTTACCGTAGAAAGAAAAGTAATGGAGATGAAGCAACTAAGTGCACAGCCGTAATGATAGTGAATTTGTGAGAGAAACGGCGGGAGAAGAAGAAAGGGAGAGTGGGGGGAGCGGGGGCGCAAGCACCTTGGAGAATCCAAACTCCTCGTCCAATCGCACGACCGTTTCAACGGGCAGAACCTTGGGCAGATCGGCAAGGAATATCTGCCACTCATCCGGTCCCCAATCACTCGCATCTGCCCGCCCAAAATTCGACTTCGGATCGGCCTTAAATCCATTCGCCGCCCGCTGCACGGCTGCCAGGCTGGCAGACTGCGGCACGATAGACTCCGCCTCGGCCGGCATTCCTTGTCCTCTTACCCACTCCTCCACATCCACCCAGCTCTCCCCTCCCTTCTCCATCACCTGCGGCAGCTCTGCTTGGAGGAACTCGAGAAAGGTGGCAGTGGTGATGGACTGGAAAGCAAACTTGCTGATGTACTTGGTGATAAACGCGTCAAAGGCCGGGCGCCCCACAGCGTGCTCCAGGCGGGTGAGGAAAAAGAACCCTTTCTCGTAAGGCACCTCAGAAAACACCTCGTCTGGATCGAACTCATCCAGGCCGTCCGTTCCCAGATCCAGCTGTGTGAACCGACGGCTGGATGAGCCCGTATCAGAAGTGAAACGCGAAAGGCCCTTCTGCAGGTCCAACCAACCCATAGCCGCGTCCAGCCTCGCCTTCTCAGCCCCCTCCAGGGCTTCCAGAATCCGCCGCTCCGCGTACACCGTCCACCCCTCATTCAGCCAGAAGGACGAGTAGTCCGCGTTCGTAACCAGGTTACCCGTCCAGCTGTGCGCCAGCTCGTGCGCCACCACGTTGGCCAGTGAGCGGTCGCCAGCCAGCAGCGTGGGCGTGAGGAAGGTGCAGCGCGGGTTCTCCATGCCGCCGTAGGGGAAGGCGGGCGGCATGAGCAGCAGGTTGAAGTCGCCCCACCCGTACGGGCCGAACAGCGCCTCGGCCGCCTTGATCTTCTCCTCCGTCTCGCTGAACTCGAATGCTGCTGCCTCCAATTGCGATGGCTCTGAGGGGTGAGGGAAGAGGGGCACGGCGTGAGGGATGGGGGGGGGGGAGGAATCAAGAGGGGGAGTGAAACAGCAGGGTAAATGAAAGTGGGCCTCTGCTGCCTTCAACTTCTCCTTGAGTAGTGGTGGTTTCCCAGTGGGTTGCCACCATCCTGAGTGGTTTCCCAGTGGGTTGCCACCATCCTGAGTGATTTCCCAGTGGTTTGCGATCACATTGAGTGGTTTTCCAATGGGTTGCCACCACCCTGAGTGGTTTCACAATGGTTTGCCACCACCTTGAGTGGTTTCCCAGTGGGTTGCCACCACCCTGAGTGGTTTCCCAGTGGTTTGCCACCGGGCAGTAGCATTGGGCAGTAGCACCGGGCAGTAGCACCGGGCAGTAGCACCGGGCAGTAGCACCGGGCAGTAGCACCAGGCAGTAGCACCGGGCAGTAGCACCGGGCAGTAGCACCGGGCAGTAGCACCGGGCAGTAGCACCAGGCAGTAGCACCGGGCAGTAGCACCGGGCAGTAGCACCGGGCAGTAGCACCGGGCAGTAGCACCGGGCAGTAGCACCGGGCAGTAGCACCGGGCAGTAGCAGCAGACAGTAGCACAGGGCAGTAGCACCGGGCAGAGGCACTGGGCTTTTCGACTGGTGTGCTTTTCGACCGGTGTGTTTTTCGACCAGTGTGCTTCTCGATCAGTGTGCTTCTCGACCGGTGTGCTTCTCGACCGGTGTGCTTCACGACCAAGGCTTCTCGACCGGTGTGCTTCTCGACCGGTGTGCTTCTCGACCGGCGTGTTTCTCGACCGGCGTGCTTCTCGACCGTGTGCTTCTCGACCAGTGTGTCTTTCGACCGGTGTGCTTTCCAACTGGCGTGCTTTTCTACCGGCGTGCTTTCGACCGGTGTGCTTTTCGACCGGTGTGCTATCAACCGGTGTGCTTTTGACCGGTGTGACGCGCGGGGTAAGCGTCTTGAAGGCGATGTTCCCAGAGGCATCAATAAAAGACAAGGGTGCGCTTACCAGCATACACCTTGACTCGCGGACTGAGTGTCTTGAACGCAATGTCTCCCACGGCGAGTGCGAAGAGGTACGGTGGGATGGGCTGCTCCATGGCAAACACCTCATCCACGCGGGCGGCGTCTGCTGTCTGCTCCGTGCCCACGTGCTGCGCGCTCATGACTGCGTGCAGGCCAGCAGGGATGTTTACTCGTGCTGTGGCGTCCGGAGGATGGGGATTGAAGGGGAAAGGGCGGGGGGGAAGGAGGGGGGGGGGAGGGAGGGAAGTGCAGTGAAGAGAACAGCAGGATATGCACTCATGATCGCGTGCAGTATAGTGGGTATGCTGACTCGTGCTGTGGCATGGAATGACATAGGCGGGGAGAAAGGGGAGAGGCGCGAGCAGTAGGTGGGTGGGTCTATGGCGTTGGCCTCAACAACAACTGCGAGATCAGCCCTAGGTCTAGGACACAAGCGCGGAAGGAATGGAGTGTGTCAGCGGTGCGAGCTAGACCACGAGCACCCCTCCCGTCTAAGCCAGCTGACTGTTGTGCTTCATGCGCGCCTGCGGCGTTTTGCTACGTCTCAGCACTAGATTCTGACCCCTCCCGTGTGAGCCACCTGACCTTGGTGTTTGATGCGCCTCTGCCGTTTCGAGATGTCTCAAAACTAGATTCTTATCCCTCCAGTCTAAGCCAGCTGACCGTGGTACTTGACCATTACCATTGTACTTGATACGCGCCTGCGGCGTGTCCTGGCAGGGGAACACGGAGCGCACGTGGATGGCCTGGCACTGCGTGAACACGTACGGCTGCTGCCCGCCAGCTGTCTGCTCCGGCGTCAGCCACTGCAGCGCTGAGGCGTTGGGTCCGGTGTGGAAGCCTGGATAGTGGTGGGAGGAGGGGGAGGCAGTGATGGGTAGAGGAAGGGGGCGGGAGAGAGAGAAGCATGCGGAACACTGAGTCAGCCACTGCAGCGCCGAGGCCTTGGGCCCTGTCGGGAAGGTTGCAGACCACAAGGAGTGGTTGGACGAGAGAGGGGGAGAGAGAGGAAGTTAGACGCCATGTAGCACGTTGCACGTTGCATGACGCATGGTGCATGTCACAAGTTGCATTTTTTCGAGCACTAGTGACAAAAGAACAACTCGGTGAAGGGTGACACACAGAAGATTGAAAACTGATGGTGATACACAGGTGGTGGCATGTGGACAGGAGCACAACCATTACCACATACGGCTGGAGACATGCAGATGACCACATGCGTTGTGATACTCGGTACGCACGGATGGTGACCTCATTGGAGTGCAGGGAGAGGGCGAGTAGCGATCCGCGGACGTGGTGTGGCGGATGCACCTGGAAGGGCACTGCAGGGCATGCCATGCCACATGGCATGTGGTGATGTCAGGCCATGTGACGATGCCATGCCACGTGATGATACCATCACATGCGATGATGCCATGACATGCGATGATACCATGACATGCGATGATACCATGACATGCGATGATGCCATGACATGCGATGATACCATGACATGCGATGATACCATGACATGCGATGATACCATGACATGCGATGATACCATGACATGCGATGATACCAATTCAAGCGCTGATGCCAATTCAAGCGCTGATGCCAATTCAAGCGCTGATGCCAATTCAAGCGCTGATGCCAATTCAAGCGCTGATGCCAAGGAATTTCTAAATTGCGGACCAAATGGGTAGGAGAGCGTGGAAGCTTGAGAGACGAAGAAATAGGGATGAGGGAACGGGCAAATAGGGATGAGGGAACGGGCACTAGGCTTGGTGTGAGGACGGACGAGGAGCATCACCGAAGGTGGTGAGGCAATAGCAAGTCAAGCAAAGATCAGCGAACCTGACGACGAGTCTGACGAAGAGCCTGACGGCCTCACCGTCGTTCCCGGCGGCGTCAGTGGCGGCGAGGATGCTCAGGTCGCGCGTGTCGAGGCTCAACGCCCCCGTCGCCTGCAACGAGCAGCGAGGAGAGCAGGTGAGGAGAGCAGGCGAACCGTGGAATAATGGAGAAATGAGAACCTTTCTGGCGACCGGGAACCGACAAGGATAAATAGTTTCTCATGCAGGAGGAAACGGATTCTCAAAGTTAGTGAGAGACGGCTCTCACGGGTTTGTCTAGGACTAAGCGCGCCGTTCCTGAAATCCGCTTGGTGTCGAAATCGACACTCAAATTTAGGTCCACGAACGTCGTTAGCGGCTCGCCGGCCTGCGTGTTGGAGTGCGGGTCGATCGGCGCCATGAGAAGCAGACAGAGCAGCGAGGAGACGCAGAGAAAGGCTGCGTATGGCGGGCAATGGAGCATGACAATGGGGTTCCAGGGATCCGTTGGGATTTGAGCACTCAGGAATTCGGAATCTGTAGGCAGAGGCAGACATCGGGATGGTTCGTGCAGAAAGGGAGCGAGGTGGGGGATGAGCAGGGGCTGTGAAAGATTGTAACATCTGATACAGTGCATTCTTTCTTCTTACTACAAAAGCTTTTATCCCAAATCTGTAGCAGCTTACATCAATTAGAGGGGCTGACAAAAAAGAGAATCATCCTGATGAGAAGAGACTCATCCTGATTGCCTCGGGCACGTGGTGCGCGTTGGCTGGGGAAGGTCACCCTCCCTTCTGTATCGGACTGGTGATACAGGCCACGGGGTTGCCGTAAATTTGATAACGATCAGGCGAAACGACGAAGACCAGTCACATTACAAGAACCACTCTGCCAGGAGTTACCCTTCTTCGCCAACTGTTACTATGCTCACAACGACGTGACGTGTCTGGTTGGAAAGCTCCCAGGCTGCTGTGAGCACCTCCATGGCCTGCACTAGCGGCATGGCGGAGGTGTGGCATCAACGCACGCGGCACACCTCCCTGCCTCAATACATTCACCCCCCGCATCTCAACCAATGCCCACACAAGCCAGTCTCCTCTCTGCCTCGCCTCTCGCACTCCACGGCTCATGCTCTGCCCTCGATTCCATCCACCCAACCCAAGCCACCTTTTCCCTTTCCCGCTTCGCTGTCAGCCACACTGGCGGAGCCTGCCTGCTTGACTGCGTCATCCTTCCACATGTCCCTCCCTCCCTGTGCCCCTGTGTAGCGTACCTAGCCTTCCCCCAACCGCTGAGCCCGCTTCACCTCCTTCCCGCAGTGTGTCTCGATGGATGGATCGGCCAGCAGCGAGCAGTAGGCGCGCGCACATGTTTTGCACCCGCTTGGTTGTCGACCCCTCGGCGGCGCTGCACTTGAACCCACTTTTCGTCCAGATAGGCAAACGAGAGCACGCCGACCGTGTGGGAAGGTCCTTTCGGCGACAGTTTCACCAGCGTTCGTCGCCATGCACGTGCGTCCTCTCGCCTCCCCTCGCTTCACGCCTGCCTGTGCCTTATTCCTTCTTCCGCTTAGGCAGCCTATTCCGTGCGTATCATCGCTAGTTTCCCCGTCTCTCGTTCCCTCAACATGCGTTCCGACTCGTTTCCGCTCGTATTTTTCTAGTTAATTCCTCGCCCTTTGCTACCACTCAATATCCCTCTAATAGTGCTTTTTCTCTCCCCTCACGTCAATCAGCAAGCGATCGGGACATGGGCGGTGCGGCGGTAGTCGTGTCACCTCGTCGGGTTCCCCAGCTGGGAAATAAATTCAGGCGCAAGTCACGGGCCGCACCATCCGGTGATGAAAAGCCTAATCCCAAAGGCAAAGATAGAGCCGTAGAAGAAAGCGAGGAGAGGGAGGTCGTGATTCTACCGGCGTCTTTCAGCCGGGATCCCGCTCAGCCTCCTGCTCTACCCGCTCCAGAGGTCGCGGTTTCGAATCCCCAGAACGCCATTACAGTAGCGAGAGACGACGCCATGGCGGAAGGGGGGGGCGGAAGCGCTGGTGGGTCTAGGTTGATGTGCGGAGCAGCAGGGGGGGAAATGGTGTCGGCGGAAGAGGGTGCGGGCGGGGGGAGTGCGCAGTGGGGCGCGGGGGGAGGGGAGGAAGCGGAGGGGGGCGAGCATGAGAGCGCGACGGCGAAGAAGCTGCAGAAGGCGGACCGCGAGAAGATGCGGCGCGACCGACTTAACGACCAGTTCGTGGAGCTCGCGAGTGTCCTCGGTATAGTAGTACTCCCTTAACGCAACCTTTTCACTGTTACTTCGTCCCCTAAGCGCCCTGTCAAATTTCCAAACTACGAGTATCTGCGGCCTTTCTGATGTTTGGTTGACTCTCAAGAGCTATTTCCCGCGTTTCTGCCGTGGCCCATCCGCAGATCCTGACCGTCCGAAGAACGACAAGGCGACGATCCTGAGCGACGGGCTGGCGATGCTTCGCGAGCTGCGCGCGAACGTGAGCCGGCTGCGCGCCGAGCACAGCGCGCTGATGGACGAATCGAAAGAGGTACGGAGAGACGAGACGAGGCGGAGGGGGTGGCAGGGGGGATAGACATGGCGGAAGACCAGTCGCTTTTATGGTGGCTCCCCCAATCTCTTCCTGTTTTGTTCCTCTCCAGCCCTCGCGCTCCACCTCTCGCATCTTCCTTCCCTAATCGTCGCCCTTCTCCCTTCACTCCCCCCCACTCCCCCCCTTCCCCGCGCGTCGTCTCCTGCGCCATCTCTCTCCGCAGCTGGCGGCGGAGAAGTCGGAGCTGCGGCAGGAGAAGGGCGCGCTGAAGGGCGAGGTGGATGCGCTCAAGGGGCAGCTGCACCACCGCATGTCCGCGCTCCTGCCCTGGGCCACCGCCCCCGCTGCCGCCCCTGCGCCCACCGCCCCGCCTGCGCCTCCTCCCACTTCCCCCGCTCCTGCCGCTCCCCCTCCCTCATCCGCTGCTCCCGCTCCTGCCCCTCCCTCGCCCGCTGCTCCCGGTGCTGCCAATCTACACACCCCGGCACCAATGCATGGCCACACCCAGGCGTCACGGCACCTGCTGGGCTTTGCTCCTGCCGCCCCACCCCCCCGCCCTTCTCTTGCTGCCCCCGCTCTTACCCCACCCTCCGCTCCGCTTCCCCCTTCCGCTCCTGCAGCCTCCCCTCCCCCCGCGGCCCCTAACACTGCGTCCGCGCCTTCAATGCAATTTCTCCCTCAGTTTCGCCCTCAGATGCTGACGTCACCGCTGCACGTGCTGCAAGCAGGGCAAGCCACGAGCCAGCCTGGCATGCTGACGTCAGCCACGAGCCAGCCTGGCATGGGTCAGCCCACCATGCACATGCCACCTTCACCACATAACCCCTCCCCGATGCACATGCCCTTGCGCATGCCCATACCCATACCCATGGGGCAGGCACAGGCATATATGACAGGCGCAGGCAGCACAGGGGGCATGGGGGGAACAGGGGGAGGGGGCATGGGGGGAACAGGGGGAGGGGGCATGGGGGGAACAGGGGGAGCGGCCATGGGGGGAAGCAGGTCGGAGCAGGCCATGAGCCCCCCTGTCTCCGTGCTCTCCTCCTCCGCCCCCACCCCGCCCGCATCGTCAGCAGGAACAGCAGCAGGGGTAGGAAGCCAAGGGGGAACGAGGGACAGCAATGGTGCGATGCGGAATAGCAGCGCGCAGCAGCAGGGGCAGAGGGGGCGGGAGGACGGCGATGCAGCCGCTGCTGGCAGCTCTCTTGTGGACATGAGTCGTGGTGGGGGAGAGGTAGCCGTGCTGGTGAAAAGAGAGGAGGGCGACGCTAATGCCGCAGACAGCAGGGGAGCACAGCAGCAGCAGCAACAACAGCAGCCGCCGCCACAACAGCAGCAGCAGCAGCAGCAACAACCGCAGCAGCAATCACAGCATATGCAGCAGCAGCATGCATCGTCACAGGCGTCACTAAACCAGCAGTCAGCAGCACAGTCCATGCAGCCACCAACCGCTCTCCCCACACCACCCCCTTCCCTTCCTCCCCCTTCCTTCCCCCCACAAGCCTGGCCGCCTGGAGCATACCCCATGCCTGTTCCCATGCCCTTCCAAGCCTCCATGCCAGGCTCGGTGCCTCCCGCACCTGCGGGCATGCAGGGATGGATCGCCGTGCCTGCTGGCGCCTTCCCCTACGCCTTCCCTCCCACGCCTCCTGCTGCTCCGCCCTCAGTCCCCCCTGGAAGTGACGGCAAATGCACAGGAGTCTCGGCGCAGCAGCAGCAGCAACAGCAGCCAATGATGATGGCAGCTTATCTGCCAGGTCAGCTCCCATTCCAGGTCAGCGCCAGCTCAGCAGGCCAGGGTCAAGGAGGTCAGCAAGGCAAGGGACCGGCGGGGCAGGAAGGGCAGAGTGGGCAGCAAGCAGCACAGGGGCAGCAAGCGACACAAGCGCAGCAGGCTTATGCTCAGCAGATGGGGCAGGCGCAGCAAGCGGGGCAGGCGCAGCAGATGATGCAGATGCAGCAGTACCTGGCGCAGCAGGCAGCCCACGCACAGCACCTGCCACAGGCAGTGCCAATGCCAATGCCTCACGCGCAGCAGATCATGGGCGCGCCTGGCATGGCCATGGCCCTCCCACCGCCGCCCCCGGGGCAGATGTACGTCACTGCCCCCTTCCTCGTCCCCGCTCCCAGTCCCCAGCAGCAGCAGCAGCAGCAGCAGCAGCAGCAGCAGCAGCAGCAGCAGCAGCAGCAGCAGCAGCAGCAGCAGCAGCAGCAGCAGCAGCAGCAGCAGCAGCAGCAGCAGCAGCAGCAGCAGCAGCAACAGGCGCAGCAGCAGCAGCAACAGCAGCAGCAGCAGCAGCAGCAGCAGCAGCAGCAGAGCATTCCCCCAGCGTCACCATCAGGTACTGTAATGAGTGGTAATAGGTCGGAAGGCAGTGCTGCTGCTGCTGTTGCTGGGGGCGCTGCTGCTTCTCCTGCCCCGACTGCACCACCGTACAGCCACCCCTACAGCATGATGCCGCCCAATGCTGCTGCTGTTGCTGCTGCTGGCGCTGGTGCGTCTCTCCCCCACATGGCGTACAGCACGGCTGGATTCTACATGCCCATGGCTGCTGCAGGCCAAGCAGGAGCCCCTGGCAGCCTGCAGCAAGCAGCTCAGCTGCCCTCCCAGCAGCAGCAGATGCAGCAGCAGCAACAGCTACAACAGCAGCAGCAGCAACAGCTACAACAGCAGCAGCAGCAGCAGCAGCAGCAGCAGCAGGGGTCAGTGGCAGCATGTGCATCTGCTACCCCCATGACTCCCTTCCATCCATACGCCTCTTACGGCTCTGCTCCCCCCCTCTACCTCCCCACACAGCAGCTGCAACCACAACAGCTACAGTCACAACAGCTACAGTCACAACAGCTACAGTCACAACAGTTACAGTCACAGCAGCTACAGTCACAACAGCATCAACAGCAACAACAGCAACAACAGCAACAACAGCAACAGGGCCAACAACAGCTGCAATTGCCACAGCTCCAGCAGCAGCAGCAGCAGGGGGCGGTGCAGCACATACACCTAGCCCCCCAGGCCAGCAGCGCAGGAGGGGGAGTTGACAGAGGGAGCGGGGGGAACACGGGGGGGAGTGCTGCAGGGGGGGGAAATGCCTCGGGATCGAGCAGTCTGCCCCACTGGCTGTGGGCGGCAAGCCACAGGCCTGCTTGACTAATTTGACTGGCTTCACTAACAGCTGCTGGTTACTGCCCACTGCTGTGGTGCAGATGCGCTCTGGGCTGTGCACTGGGAGGAATAAAGCAGGGGGGCGATGGGAGTTGCCTGCCACCAGTGGAGTTGGCGCGAAGCTGCTGCGCGCAGCATGCCATTTTCGGAGCTCACAAATGTGCTGTTAAAACTGCTGCTGCTAGCATGTAACAGTGTTTGGGCTTCTTGCTGTGTCAAAACTGTTGTGATATAATTGATACTTAGCATTTCTGTAAGTCGATTAGTTGTACCGTAATCCCCCGTATAAAACACCCGCCGGAATTAAGCTCCCCCGGGTAGCTTGAGCGGGTATGGGTGTTTAATTTAACTGGATTTAGTTACCACCCTACCCTTGGCCTTGAAAACATTTCACCACCCCCCCCCCGAGATGAAAAAACGTTTTTTTCTACGTTTTCCTGTATACAACTTCTTGAATTAGACGTTAGCAATACAACTAGAGTACACGTAGTTACTACTCAACAGAATTAACCATAGAACTAGTTAGTGGCACCACCTAGGGCTTGAATTCTACCTACTCTGCCTAGAACCTAAATTATCCACTACACTTTAAATCCTTACACTACGCCAGATACTCATGCCTCTGCCACTGCTCTAGTCGTCCTCCTCAGGCTCCTCATCACCAGCCTGCCACATCTCGACGTCGCTCCCATCTGCAAGCTCATCCCACCAACAGTTGTCGTCATCCTCCTCTGCAATGCCTTCTGCCGGCCACACATCAACACTTGCTGCTGCTGCTGATGCAGTCTCTGCATTGTCTGCGCTCGTCTCAGCTGCTTCGGTTGCCGCTTCAGCACAGTCGATGTCGTCAGCCGCCAGCGACGCCGCATCCGCCTCTTCGTCGTCGGCGACGTCCCCGTCCACATCGATGAAGGCGTCGTAGAGGGGGTTGATGTAGCCGCTCTCGCCCTCCTCGACGTGGACATCGTCCATCACCTCGAGGTCGGGCTTGCCGCGGAGGTGGCGGAGAGCGAGGTTGTCCTCGGTGCCGTCCAGCGCATTTGATATACCGCACGTCTTGAATGAACTACGCACGAGCTCCTCTGGCACAGCCTCCCATGACCGAGCAATCCATTTCAAGATGAGCTCAGCCGGGGGCTTCTTCAGATTTCCTGCACATGGGATGGGAGCATAATGGGAGGAGAAGAACACGGGCACGGTAAGATGACGACTAGGAACGGGCACGGTGGAATTCGTCAACAAGCAAGAAGTCTAAAAACTACTGAGGAAGCGACTAGGAAGGGGCTCACCTGCCGCAGTCTTCATGTCGATGCCGAACTGCTCAAACCATGCGCCGTAGTCGCCGCGCACGCCGGCCTTGAAGCTCTTGTTCACTGCGACGTCCAGCGGTTGAACGAGAGGCGTGCAACCACCTGGGATGACCGCGCGGGTAAGTTTGCACAGCTTCATCGTCTGCCCGACTGCTTGCGTGAGGTGGCCCTTGTACGAGTCCAGGATGACGAGCGCCTCCTTGCGCCTATTCCCCGATTCGCGCAGCGGGCGCAAGAACGGGTTCAGGACTTGAGTAGTCCAGTCCTGGACAAGCTTCTCGTCCATCCAGCCCTTCGGCTGGGCTCGGATGATGACACCTGGATACAATCACAAGCCACAACAACAGTCAGAGGGTATGCATCGGTGTACACTATGCACAGAGCGAAAAGCAAAGGCGATTCTTACCCGGGGGAACCTGAATCTTTGGCAGCGTCTTCCGCTTGAAGATGACATAGGGCGGGAGCTTCAATCCCGACGCGGTGACTGCCAACATGACGGTGAGCCGCTCCTTTTCATAGCCGGCCGTCCTCACATGCACCGTACGGGAGCCTCTGTGCTCCAACGTCCTCTCCTGGGGCATTTCGATGAAGAGGGGGGTTTGGTCGGCGTTCACGATGTGGTCGAGGTTGTACCGGTTGAGAATCCGCATCTGTTTGACAAACTCCCAGAATTTCTCGATCTTCGTCCTCATGTCTGCATAGAACAAAACAGTCAGAGAACAAATTCAGGCATGAACACGCGATAAGCAAGACAATCAAAAGAATCAAATATTGAAAGTCGCGGCAAGGGAATCAATAACAAGGATGGGACGGCAGTTTACCGTCGGCGAGCTTTTGCCCCATCTTCGTCTTTACCCGACGCGTAAGGCCCCAGCGCGCGCGGAATCTGAACGTCCAGCGACTCGACGCTCTCCAGTCGACGTTGGGATGATGTACGCGCATGTACGAGCGACTCCACTTCTGCAGCAGCTTGACGGAGACGGCAAGCCCCCTCCCGCGGTGCCTCAGGAACTGTCGGTAGAGGGCGCTCTCCATCGTCGGGTACTTCGCGGGACGTCCGGCACCGACGAGGCGTTTGCGGCAGCCGGCGGCGACACGGAGGCGTTCGCGAGCATTCTTCCACTCCCGAATCGACACCGGCTGGACACCTGCAAGCTTTGCGAGTCCACGCACAGAGAGGTCGGGTTGAGCATCGAACATGGAAAGCCAGTACAACTTCTCCGAGGCAGAGTACGAGCGGCGCTTCCGCTTTGTCATCCTGCTTCGAGATGCGGGGGCATGGACATCGTGATTCAAGGTAGGACCACGGGGTCGTCGAATGGGCTCCGGGAAACTCGGCACGCTGACGCGCGGCAGGGGACGACGGCCTTCCGTCGTAGTGGCGTCGCCGCTTGCAGAATCTGTCGCAGCGGCGTCGCCGCTTGCAGAATCTGTCGCAGCGGCATCGCCGCTTGCAGAATCTGTTGCAGCGGCGTCGCCGCTTGCAGAATCTGTCGCAGCAGCATCGACGCTTGTAGAGTCTGTCGCTGCGGCATCGCCATCGGCAAAGGACCGACGAAGTAAAAACGTCTGCTGGCCATAAGGGCCCTTTCGAGTCAGAAGGCGAGACAAGCCAGAGCCTGAGGCCATGGCGGGGGGACGTTACAGAGACGGAGCTAGAGGATGCCTTAGACAGCCCTTGCAGGGGCTGTCTTGAAGGCATCCTGGAGTCGAAACTGAAAATGAGAGGACGGAGCGGGGTAGACCCACTTCAAGAGTGGGTTGGAGGGGAAGGCAGGGACGTGGGCGACTCCCTCGTCCATGTCGCCCATGAAATGCCTCTCACGACCATCCAGAATGTGTGATTCCGTGCGCTGGCCGGTCGTGAGAAGGCATCGACAAAATGTGCCGTTGATTTCGCCACCCCATGCTGTGCTGGCACAGCGTGGGCTGGAGGCATCAACGTGGCTGCCTGCAGCACGAGCTGATTGGCTACTCTGGCAGCATACTGAATCAGCAGCGTACGTAGACGATGTGGCATGCACATGGACCAAATCGTTGGGTACGCGATCAGATAGCAGAATGGGACTCAGAACAATGCCCTGTCACAAGTACAGTTGAATTCAAATCAAAAGTAGCATATGCACATTCCATAACTCCTGGGTGCTGTATTTTTTTTGCCTTTAATTACACCCAGCCCAAAATTTCGTTGCATTTTTATTAACACCATAGGGTGTTTTATACGGGGGATTACGGTAGATAGTCTCGAATCTTACTGTAGAGCATAAGTCAGTAGAATGACGTCAGCAACTAGCGCTCGTCATAGGACTGTCGTTTCAGTCACGCGAACAGTCGCACCTCTTCAATATCATTTAGGGCGCATTGGGCGATAGTGACGAACAGGTACATTAGCGAATAGGTACTTTTCCTAGAACTGTAAAATCCTTGTTAGGTCTTTTCATTATTAACTTTGATTATCCACAAGTTCACGTACTTAGGTTATTCAACCTCGACCTTTACATTTTACAAGACTTCCGCTGTCTTACTAGTCTACCATTCCAGTAAAGATCCTGGACCAACACTTGAGGGTTTTCCAAGTGTTTGTGTTTGCAGTTTTATACTTAGTCTACTACAACACCATACGATTTATTTCATGGTATGAGAGCTATCTGGAATTAAGACTACCGTCAACTATGACTGGTTCATCATCAGCACCATCTGCCGGATCAGTTACCGGAACTACTGGAGTACATGTCTCCACTACTGTCGCTGGTCTTTCAGCCTCTGGGCCATTCCCACCAGCCTATGCTAATATCGGTATGCAACAGCATAATCCATCTTCTGTCAATACTCCAGGCGCTCCATCGACTGCACCTGCAGCGCAACAACAACAATCACAGACAACAGCACAGCAACAAGCGTCAGTACAGCCACCAGTATCAACGCAATCAATTTCATCTGCGTTCACTGGAATGAGCCTTGACGGCTCAAGTTACATGCGTGGAGCTACAGCTCCAAGTACTGGTTTGTTCCCTTTCTCACCTTTCGTACAGCAGCCGTAGTCGCAGCAGTTTCAGCATCCTTTATATATCTTCGGTCGTTCCTGTCAACTTATATATATTATCTATGTAGAAGTTATAGGCTAGACTGAGGTATGCTTCTAGTGAGTACAACCAACTAGTATTTGTTCTAGGTTTCCACGTCTAGTGATTATTCGTTCTCACTTTGACATGGTATCACGCGTAGGTTAGCATCCCCTACCTACCGCTTCCGCCCGTACCCTAGCTAGGCCCCATCGCGCCTCCTAGCTCCGTCGCGCCTCCTAGCCACGTCGCGCCCCTCCTGGGCCCCGTCGCGCCACCCTAGCCCCGTCGCGCCACCCTAGCCCTGTCGCGCCCCTCCTGGGCCCCGTCGCGCCTCCTAGCCCCGTCGCGCTCCTCCTGGGCCCCGTCGCGCCACCCTAGCCCCGTCGCGCCCCTCCTGGGCCCCGTCGCGCCTCCTAGCCACGTCGCGCCTCTCCTAGCCCCGTCGCGCCACCCTAGCCCCGTCGCGCCCTGCCTGGCCTCGTCGCGCCCGCTCGGCCCCGTCGCGCCCTGCCTGGCTCCGTCGCGCCCGCCTAGCCCCGTCGCGCCCTGCCTGGTCCCGTCGCGCCCTGCCTGGCCCCGTCGCGCCCTGCCTGGCCGCATCGCCCCCGCTCGGCCCCGTCGCGCCCTGCCTGGCTCCGTCGCGCCCGACTGGCCCTGTCGCGCCCTGCCTAGCCCCGTCGCGCCCTGCCTGGCCCCGTCGCGCCTGCCTGGCCCCGCCGCGCCTCCCTGGCCCTGCTGCGCCTGCCTGGCCCCGCTGCACCTGCCTGGCCCTGACACGCCCGCCTGGCCCCGTCGCGCCCTGCCTGGCCCCGTCGCGCCTGCCTGGCCCCGTCGCGCCTGCCTGGCCCCGCCGCACCTGCCGCCTGTGTGGCCCCGCAGCGCCTCCCTGGCCCTGCCGCACCTGCCTGGCCCTGCCGCGCCTGCCTGGC